TCTTGCGCGTATGCGACACACAGAATTTCTAGTTTCCGTGGCACTGGCGTTTGTGTTTGTTAAAACCAGCTGTGCGAATTTGCAAAATAGAGATTTTTCTACACAGTCACGCAGGTATGATGCCTTGTTGCTATGCTGTTACATTGTCATACACAAAATTGTCCTTTTTTTTTTTTTTTTTTTTTTTTAAGCGGATTTGCACTTTTCATCTGGCGCTGGACCCCTGTGCCCCGCTTCACCACCGCACACGTTTGTTACTCTGTTTTGCGTCACGGTTACGTATCCGCTTGTTTCGTATGGTACGCTTGTTTAATTGGGCCAAGGGCGAACGCGCATGTCTTTCAAAGACAGCGATTCAAAAGAACAAACCCACCATGAGGGGGGGAGAAATAATGAAAATTTCCCACTACATAAATGCGGTTTGAAAACGGTTGCGCACAAACTGATGAAAAACAGAATAGAGGAAAGAGAACGGCTCACTGATCATCCTTTTAAACAAATTATGTGCCCTTTCTTAGGCGCGCAAAATGCATTATCTGAAAAGAAAGCGACCTTGGGAACACCCAACATATTCCACTGCCATACACGTAGGCGATTCACCACTGTGCAGAACAGTTCATTTACGTTTCCTAAATGCTCAAAATAAATGAACAAAAAAAAAAATTTTTTCTGAATTTCGCCCTTTTATCTAGGGCTACAAAACATCTTGCGGAAACGGTCTTTTGCCACACCCTTGGACGGATTAACACGACAGAAGGTTGGCTGATACGCAAACGACAAGAACACTCGCTTGGTGTTTAAGAAAAAAAGAAATGAACAAATGAGTAACCATTTTATGCGTTTCGTATTCCCCCACGTGGCAGCTTTGCGTTGTGCAGGACTGGAAGAAGCAAAGGGGGGGCACAAAATAGGCATCCAGTGACCCTTTCAAATGTGGTATGCTCTGGTTGATTCATCTTTTCTAGCCGTGTGCGTTTTGCTCCCTTGCACTTGTCTCTTTCCCAGTATGTTGTCTACATAAAGTGCTGCCTCGTATTGTAAAAAGAAATGGATGAGCGGGGGTGAATGGGAGTAGGTAATGCAACGTGCGTACGCTTCATATCGCCGCAACCTACCCCGTGGTAAAATAAATGCAAACGGTAAGACCGATAATAGCCATCAACAACGTATGCTGCATACGTACAAGAATATATTCACATAATAATTTTGTGGAAGAAAAAAAAAGGGACATATATGGGGCAAAAACTCCACACATAAACGTTACGCATATGTGTTATGTAGGCATAAATTATATTCACATAAAAAAAGGCCTCCCCGCAATGGATAAGCAACTTGTGTTAGGACTGCGCTACGTTTACTCTCCTCGCTTCCAATTCTTGTAGGCGGATGTGAATCCAGCGCAACCCCCTATCGATTGCTCTCAAGTGGGCGATTTGTTGCAAAGTTAAAATGGGATTGGGAAAAAAAAAAAAAAAAAAAAAAAATGCAAATTGTTAAGCAAGGCGTGGTAGGGAATAAAATCGTATGAGTAGCATCTGCCAAGCAGTGCCGAACTGTAGGGAGAAAGAAAATGACGGGGCTGGGTTGGCTGCGGAAAGATTACAGGCGGAACCGATCATTTGGTGGTGCGCCCTCAGCGGGGCCCCGCGGGGCATATAATATACATGCACATATATATATAATTATGGTAGCGTATATATAGATTGCCAGGCGAACTTTTGCAAAATCACTTGTCCCCACTTGCGTGCCTATATATATTTGTAATACGCACTCCCGCGTAGCTGCACTGCGCAAAAGGTATGCACGCCACAAAACGCAATAGGAGCAACGTTACTTAAAAATTAACCCAGTCCCCCACGGGAAAGAGGAAGGTCCAGCAGTGCAAAGAGAAAAACAGCAGGAAAGCGCCACAGCCAACGAAGCAGCAAAACGCGTTCGTGTCGGAGGCCACAGGGGTATGCAAACTCTCAGGAAAAAATTCAAAAAAAAAAAAAAAAAAAAACCACGTGAACAACTTGCGATTAAACCCATCCTTTGCGTTTACCGTGCAAACACCAAACAGAGGAGCAAAAAATAAAAAAAAATAAAAAAAAAATCGCGCCATCGTTGTAGAAGCCGACTTAACGCATGAATGAGCCTACCGCAGAAACATCCTCACGCGTTCCCATTAAGCAGAACTTTTGAGTCACCACTCGGAGAGGGAAAAAAGCCCATACTCTTCTTTACAGAAGGGGATTGCCCAAGAGAAGGGAAACGAATAACTACCTGGAGTTGCCGCAAGAGTAGCCATAGCCGCACCAGGTGAAATAGGCACAGGAGAAAAAGGGAACACCCGTGTATCATTCCGGATCCGCTCTGTTGAGCACACGCCAGGATAAAGTACACATAAATATATTTATACCTACATTTGTATAACCAGTTAACCACCGCCCCACTCTCCCTTCAAAATGATAAACAAGGAAGAGGCGTTACGGCTCAAGGGAATCGGAAACAAATGTTTCCAGGAAGGAAAATTTGACGAAGCGGTGACTCACTTTACTAACGCAATTAAAAACGACCCGCAGGACCATGTGCTACACTCCAACCTGTCGGGGGCGTACGCAAGTCTAGGGAGGTTTTATGAAGCCCTGGAGAGTGCAAACAAATGCATAAGTTTAAAGAAAGACTGGCCAAAAGGATATATAAGGAAAGGGTGCGCAGAACATGGACTGAGGCAACTGGACAACGCGGAAAAGACCTACCTGGAAGGACTCCAAGTAGACCCAAATAACAAATCCTTAAAAGATGCCCTTGAAAATGTGAGGAAGGAAAAGCTAGCAGAAAATATGGAGTACATTAATCACATAAATACCATCATTCAAAATGACGCCAACTTAAAAGCATACAAAGAAGAAAATCCAAATTACCCAAATGAACTTTTAAACACCATAAAGGCCATCAATACAAACCCCATGAACATTCGATACATACTTTCCTCCTGCGATAGGAAGATAAGTGAAGGAGTGGAGAAATTTTTTGGTATAAAATTTAATGAAGACTCGGCCTATAATGAAGAAAGGCAGAGAAAAATAGAAGAAGAAGAAATGAAAAAGAAGAAACAAAAAGAGAAGGAAGAAGAAGAAGAAAGGAAAAGAAAAAATCGATCACCAGAAGAAATACAAGGTGATGAACATAAACAAAAGGGAAATGAATTTTACAAACAAAAAAAATTTGAAGAAGCACTCCACGAATACGATGAAGCTATTAAAATAAACCCAAGTGATATTATGTACCATTATAACAAAGCAGCAGTATATATAGAAATGAAACAACTCGATAAGGCTGTCGAAACTTGTCTGTACGCTATAGAAAATAGGTACAATTTTAAGGCCGATTTTGCTCAAGTAGCAAAGGTATATAATCGACTAGCCATTTGCTATTCCAATATGAAGAATTATGATAAGGCTATTGAGGCATATAGAAAGTCGCTCGTTGAAGATAACAACAGAGCTACTAGGAACGCCCTAAAGGAATTGGAAAGGAAAAAAGAAAAAGAAGAAAGGGAAGCTTATATTGACCCCGAAAAAGCGGAAGAACACAAAAATAAAGGAAATGAATATTTTAAAAATAATGACTACCCCAATGCTAAAAAGGAATATGATGAAGCTATTAGGAGAAATCCAAATGACGCCAAGTTGTACTCCAATAGAGCTGCTGCACTGACCAAACTGTTAGAGTATCCATCGGCCCTAGAAGACGTAATGAAGGCCCTTGAACTCGATCCCAATTTTGTCAAGGCATACAGCAGAAAGGGAAATCTACACTTCTTTATGAAGGACTACTACAAAGCTTTGCAGGCCTACAATAAAGGACTGGAGCTGGACCCACAAAATAAGGAATGCCTCGAGGGGTACCAAAGATGTGTGTACAAAATTGACGAAATGTCCAAATCCGAAAAGGTAGATGAAGAGCAATTCAAGAAATCCATGGCCGACCCTGAAATCCAGCAGATCATTTCCGACCCACAATTCCAGATCATTCTGCAGAGGCTTAATGAAAACCCGAATTCCATTTCGGAGTATATAAAGGACCCCAAGATTTTTAACGGCCTGCAGAAATTGATCGCCGCAGGGATACTGAAGGTGCGGTAGACGCTGCACCGCGCCGCGAGAGGGGGGGGGCGTGAAACAGCATCGTATGTCGCCTCAGCGGATAAAATAAAGTGGTTATGCCCTGCTGAAAAAGACCATTCGCGCGGAAATATGAATGCTTTCCTGCTCGGCGCACCCACCACTTCCATTTCCCTTTGGGGTCCATATTCATTTACGTGTGAAACATTGGGCACGCGTGTCTCTCCATGCTGTGTGTCTGTCACGACACCGTTCCTTCCCTAATTCATTTTTTTTCCACCCACAAATTGCGCAAAATTAACAAATGCACAAATAGTAAAAAAAAAAAAAAAAAAAAAAAAAAAAAAAGAATAAGGAAGCAGGTCCAAGCGCCTTGCAATTTCGCCCTTTTAAAAAAAAAAAAAAAAAAAAAAAAAACTGTTAGTTGACACCACGTTATGAAAAAAAATTCCCTTCTGAACAACAACGGTGACCCAGCCGAGTCACGCCCCACGTTGGCACTATTTCGCCACAGCAGTGGTGGTCTCGACGTTCACTTTTGTCGAGGACGAAGAGAAAAAAATGTGTTCCCCTTGGCTATCCCTTTTTTTTTTTTTTTTCCTCTCTTTTGTTTAATTATTTATTGGGTCCAACGCAACGAGTTGGGGGCCCCGACGGGATGTGCATGTACCACTGGGCGAAAACGTAGCACATGTATAGCGCGAAAATGCGTGAGCAAACGCACGCGCAGAGGGGGCAGAACAGGCAGACGAAGAGGAAGCAGGGGGTGGAGCACACCATTTTGTTACTCTCACGTTTGTTTGTTCCGTTTCTCTGCTCTTCTAAGACAAGTCCCCGCTACTGACATGGTCTACTATTGAAATGCCTTTTTTCGCTCTTCTCCGCCAACCCTTAAAAGCAAAGGATCACAATGAGAAACATGAAAATGTAGGACAAGTAAAAATAGCCAGACGAATTCTTAGGGTTGCAAAACAAATCGGCATTCTGTATAGACATGTCCACTTGGTTGCTGCACAAAACGTAGTTCCTCTTCTTCTCTTTGTAATCTTTCAATTGAAGAGGATCGCACGAGCATGCCCAGGGATAATCAGTATTACGAGCTCCAAAAATCATGTAAAAGGATCCCAAGTTTCCCACCTCGAAATGCTCACTAGAATTGTCTTTGCCACCCAAAAACATATTTTTTTTTATTAAATTTAATGCTGATAATTGTACGTAAGAATTTGTGTTTTGTTTTTTTCCTATTTCACTTTTGTCTTCCTTGTATATGGCATCATCACCATTCTCATTATCATCGTGGTCCCTTCCACTCGTAAAACTCTTCTGTATATTCTCAGAATAAAAGTTGCTTATATTATCGTAGCTAAAAATGGATACAAAGGATACAATTTTTTCTAGGAAACTTTTTTTTGACTTTTCCTCTTTTTTTGTCAAATTTTGTCCTTCCGTTTTGTATTTTTCTGCTTCACTATTTGGGGTTGTCTCCTTAGGACTGCTGCCTTTGGGGTCACTCGAAATGTAGTCACTGGCAATGCAGTGGTATCTCTTGTATATATCTGAATGCGTCGTGTCCTGCTTCACGAAATCCTTCAAGATATCCAACTCGAGCTTTTTAATTTCTTGTAGCTTTTTTATCGCTTCTTCGGAAGCGCCTCCTGAGTCTGTGGGCGGGGGGGGGTAGTACAGCAAAAATGGACGGGCACAATATAAGTGCAGAAATGTATACGGCCATATGCGCACGATCTCACGCACACGGTAGGCGTACCTTCTTTATACGGGGTATTCCTGCTTTGGGCGCCTCTTAAATTACCTGCGAAGGGAGCAATGGGGGTGGTGGTGATGTCGCATGTGCGCTACATAAAAGAGCGGGTCTTTCTCGTGGAAAAGAAGCGTGCCCAAAAAAATATGCCCCCCACACAGTTGTACAAAATTACAAACGCGCACCTAGGGCAACTCCATCATTTCTATTCGCTCCCCGTCTTTTTCTTATCCTCACCAAAAATTAAACAATTCAGTAATAAAAGATATAATTTCATTTTTAAAAATAACTGCTAAGGGAACATTTCACTGGGGGATATATATTTGGCATGCTTTTTTTTTGAGTTTTTATGTTACACCTTTTTTTTTTTTTTTTCATGTTTAAAAAAAAAAAAAAAAATTCGAATCCATATTCAAATGATGTAGCAACAAAGGTTCTCCTAAATTGGTTTCCCAAGTGTGTTTAATATGACTCTTTTAATTCACTTGGTTGTGGGGGCATGCGAGGGGGAGCGAGACGGTAAGGCAATCAAATAATCAGGCCGGAAGATAGTAAGGGGCGAGCTGCAAAAGCGAATGCGTGTGTGCTAACACATGAACAGCACCGCCCAGACAACACCCAAGTGTAGACAGATCTTCTTTCCCCCTTCGCCCTTTAATGTCATAAAGAAAAAAAAAAAAAAGAAAGAAATGAAATTCAAAAAGTCACTTAAAAAAAAAATGAGTCACATAATTTCTGAGCTGGAATACTCCAAAAAAAGTCTCAACATGCGCTCGTTGTCTGCATGTCATTTTTTGCCGCATTTTCCTGTTGACATTTTTTCAAGTTTTCCTTCTTCGCAAAACGCAAAAAGTAAGAAATGCGAATGACAAATGTACGGCGTACTGCGCTGGAAGATGAATATAAAAGTGGACAACAAATGGACGACAACAGAACAACTGTCCACGTTTTAAAAATTTAAAAATGGTGAAACTGGCGCGGTTAAAATTGATGCAGACAAAATAATTCACCGCCGACAGAGGGAAAAACGAACGAAAATTTTAACCCATGCCCACCGAATTGTCCCCAATTGAAAAAGTTACGGGGAAAAAAAAAAAAAAAATTGCACTCTCCTTCTGGAGTCCGTTGTTATGTGAAAGTTATTTCTCACAATAGTAAAGTTAAAAATGTGAACTCCAAATTTGCGTCCGCGATCGGGCGAACACATATCGCCAACATATTATGCAGAGATGGGACACCCCCTTGAATGCATGCATAATTCCAGTGTACTGTATACGCACATGTGTATGCAAATGCGTACATAAGTAAATAATTATGTACGTGCGAGCACATATACATTTGCGTTTCGCGCGGGTGGACAGAATTGCAACTGTTAGGACAAAAAAAAAAAAAAATAAATAAATACAACAACAATAAAAGGCAGTACAAAAGTACATCACACATTTACACGTATGCGTGCCTGGCAGCGGCGTCCGCGGAGTAAAACGAAACGCCTCGAGAATTTTCCTTTTTTACTTTTTCAATATTAACGAGTTGCAAACAGGTGAGAGTTTTTAAAAAGTTTCTTTGCGATAAAATATTCTCATTCCCATGGGAATTAACACGAAAAGGGGGGCATGAACCAGACACAAAAACAAGTACACAAAATGGCTAATCTGCTCGCATATTAATTTTTATACACGCTTAACCGATCAGCGTTGCGATTTTGTGTACTTGTTTGTGTGTGGTTATAAAGTGGGGAGGGATGAACATGGTGTGAACAAAAAGAATTTCCTCCCGCCTCATAGCAGGAAAAAAAAAAAAAAAAAAAAAAAAACGCCTTTCACATATACACAATGTGGAGTGTATATATGTGTGTGGGGAATTGCTCACTGGGATTTTTACTGCCCAGAGATGTTTCACAACGGACAACTTCCTACCGTCTTAATGCTGCACGACACGTGTGTGCAGTTATTGCGTCCCATACGTGACACCTGGTTATACGTTCTGAAGCAACATGAGCAGTGGCTGCACGTCTTCACCGATCATATACTACTTTGGGGTTGATGTCCTGGGGGAAGAGAGTGTGTTCTCTCTCTCATCACTTCTTTCCCCTCTACCTACTGTTAAGGGTCTGAAACCATTGTCTTATAATATCACACATGAGGGTGGGAATCTCATTTATGTCATTAACAACGACAAAGTACGGAAAGGGGAAGTCGTGCAGGTAGGGAACTATATGGAGCTTATTATCTTTGTAAAATGTTTGTTTCAAATTGAAAATAGACTGTGCCTTATTATTGGATAGCTGCGTATCAATAATCATCAACACTGGGATGAAATTATTTTGTATGCATTTGAAAATTTCCGCTTTTACAGTACTCTTGTTAAATCTCCCGTCACTGATTATAAGCATTAAATGGCTCACTACATTTTTCCCTCCATTTTGCGGCGTAGAGCTGTGCGTATTTTTGAGGATGTAATTGCAAATCCTTAGCGCATTCAACATGGCATTGTCGAAAGAATTTTTCGTGTCATGATTGAATTGGAAATGATTTAAAATTTTTAAAAAGTCCTGTTTGTTAAGGCTATTCTTCATGGCACACACAACATTGTTTGCACTAATTCCGTTATCATTTTCTCCAAAGGAACATATGCCAATTCTTCCCACTTGTAATTTTTCAAATGCTCTGGCCACTAAAAATATAGCATTTAATGTAATTTTTTGTATGTTATTTATTTGCATACTTTTTGTATTATCAATTGCGATGACGATGTTATAATCTCGTTTGTTCAATTTGGTACGTCTCTTCCATATTTTATTGTTTCGGAAATCGCTGGCAAAATAGTTTACTAATTTTTTTATATTTAATTTTTTTCCAGACTTGTAATCCCCTTGGTATTTATTCCGTACAGTTGGTTCGAGGATTATTTTTAATTGCTCACACAGCTGACTCGACATCACTTCCGTTTCGTTGTTTATTTGGTCGTATATTTCTTCATACTCAGCAGTCACCTGTTCGTTAATGAGTGCCAATTCCGTTGCTCCCTCTCCAAGGTTCACCTTCTTCTGGTCAACATTTTCCTCCCCATCAACATCCTCTGTGTACTCCCTTTCCAGCGCCTTTTCATTTCGATGCAATTTATAATACTCTTCGTCCTTTTTTGCGTTTTCTTTTTCCTCCTTTTTGCGCGTTTTCGCATTTTCTTCCGAATAATGCACACTTCTTTCCGTTTCAGCGATGTCTACATCTTTGTTGTTGGCCTCTTCCTCGAAGGTTGTTTCGTAGGGGTCCCTGGCAGCCTTTCTGGCTTTGCCCCTCGACCCGTTGTCCGTCGAGGGGAAGTCGCTCTCTTGGTCCGACACTTGGCCTTCCAATTGGTCCGCTTTATCCTCCTCCGAGTCATCTCCTCCGCTGTTCACATCCATCATGTCTTTCCTCTCACGCGGAACCCTCTTCGCATTCGCCTCGTTCGAATATTTACTTTTTTCTTCATTTCCTTCGTGGGTGTCCTCCTCATGCTTCTCACTTGGCTTCATCTCCTGGACATCCCTTTCGCTCATCCGTTCCACGGGCTGCATTTCCCCCGTGGTGACAACATCCATGAGCATCTCTCCGTTCATATTTTCCTCCTCCTTGCTTCTATCATGTTCCTCTGTCGTTACGTTAAAATTTTCATTCACCCTTTGAGAATCTTTCCTGGCCTTCTCATTCTCCACCGATTCATTTTCCCTACCCATGTTGAGCAACCGCTCATTTATTTTTTCTATAAAGTTAGTTATGTCAACAAAATTTTTTGTATATATGTTGCACTTGTCAATTGAAAATGAAATATCGTTTGCACCGGACCCGTGATCATCGTTGTTGTCCTTCTGATCGCTTTTCCCTCTGCGGCTACTTCCATCCCTTTCGGTCTGCCTATTTGAAACGTCAGCTTTTGCATCGTCACGTTGGTTGAACTCCTGTTCGTTACTAATTCCCGCGTCATCCAAATTGTGTGTAGTATTGTCCATCTCGTGGGGATCCTTATCCAAGTCCATATGGCCAGCTGGGGGTGCCTTCCTCGTTTTTCCATCTTGGTACTCGTCTTGAAATTCTTCCTCTGAGTTAATGTCCCCATTGACAGCCTCTCCAAATTTGTCTCTACGTTCGTTGTGTTCATCACCTGGCCTGGTTGGCTTCCTTTCGCCTTGCGCCTCCACGTTGTGTGTGTCCTCCTCGGCTGTGCACCGTTCTGACTCCTCAAACGGCTCATTGTAACTTTGTGCCTCAGCGGGGGCATCCCTTTCTTTGCAGGCCTCTGCGGTTGGCTCTTCACCGAGTTGGTCATCTATTTGGTCATCAGATTGGTCACCAATTTGATCATTCGATTTTTCATCATCGAGGGGAAGCGTGCCGTCGCTCCTGTCCTCTGCGTCATCGGCGCCATCCATGCCATCCGCACTCTCGCTTTCTTCTGCACCTTGGTCCGCCTGCCCCTCCTGTGGCTCTACCTGACCGCTCATGAACCCTTTTCCCCTTTGGTCATTCGTACGCTTATCCGTATCGAATTGGTCCAGCTGCTCCATATCAGATTGATCCCCGTCATACGCTTCATCCGATTGTTCTGCGGCCTCCCCTTCCTGGGAAGCATTCTCATCCAACTCTTCTACATCGTGGCGAATGTCAACTTCACCTGGATCCTGCTCGCTAAACTCACGTTCATTCCTTCTGCTAGCATCGCCTTCTTCCCTTTTCGCACCGGCTGCTTGGTCTTCCTGTCCCATCTCCTCATCCGAGTCTGCATCGAAGTTATCCTCCCTGCTGGCAAAGGACCCTTCGCTGCAGCTTTTGGAAAAGTCGCTCGATTCTATTTCAAAATTGGAGTCCAGGTTAAAGTCAAATTGGTCGTTCATTTCATGACTCTCTCCATTTAGCAGATTATTTCTTTCACCCATGAGGTCATCCAGGTGATCTGCGCCCTGATTACCAGCTTGTTGCTCGTTGGTCAAATCGCAATTGTCATTTTGCTCTGCATTTGGAAGTTCATTCGTATTTCCTTCATCATTATCAACATTGACCGTTTTCTGGTCGTTGAGGGCCTCTCTGGAGGGCTCGTCCGTTCTATTGCCCTCTATAGGTTGTTCGGGTTTTTGCGCTTCCCTATCTGGGTTATCCTCCGGGTCCTCCTCCCCTTTCTCGGCCATTTCGCTGTCCGCATCGCCTTCCTTTAATGCATCATTCAACGCTCCACTGCGCTCACTTACATCCCACTGGTTGCTATTATTTTGTTCAAGGACATCATCAATAGGGTGTTGTTGCTCATTTCCACCTTGTGGGTCGGCTTCAGACTCCGCTGCCTCATTTTTTTCGCCATCCCTTCTGTTCGCTTCATTGTGCATATTATTCTCTTCCTCCTTCCTTTGCCCCTTCTTTTCCATGTCTAAATTATTTTGTTCGTTTTCTAACTTGGAGGAGTTATTCTCACCGCTCTGTTGCTCGCCTCCTGGTAGTTCCTTCTCACAGAATTTTTCAAAATTGTATGTAGCCTCAATTGCTTCTTCATCAAAGTCATTCTCATCTTGACTAAAATTATTTTCGTCTTCATGGCACATATTATCTAAATCTTCATTATCCACTTGGTTTGAAATATTTTTAATTCCTTTCCCTTCTCCTAACCCTATTCCTTGTAGGAAGTCCACCTTGTGGAAAATATCCTCTTCCTCTTTTGTCTCTTTCATTGCGTCCTTCTCATTTGCAGCCTCTCTGCAAAGTCCCTTCGTGTACAAAATTTTCAACACTTTTAGGAAGTAAAGAGACACGTTTGAGAAGCCTAGAAATATATCGAGCATGTACAGAAGGACACATTTTGTAAAGTAAAACAAATTCTTGTTCAGGTAGTGGAATACTTTGATTGACTTGCTCTCCCTTTCGCTTCCCATAAACAGGTCACAATTAGTTTGCAATGTCAAGTACATTTGTATGATGTCCTTCATGCAGTACATTTCATTCACATTTTTTTGATTTTGAAAATCTGGGTAATCCCTAATATATATAATAGACTTTTTTTGCACAACGTTGCTTATGAAACGGCACATTTGGTCGTTCAGTTTTTCTACTTGGTCTTCCTGTGGGGGGTTATCCCAATTCTGCTTCTGGTCCTTTACAAAGGGGGGTGATATCTCCTCACAATGCGCTGTGGCTACTGTCGCGTCACCTTTCATCTGGTAAAAGAGATCAACTAATTTGATCACTTGTGCGTGAATCTTATCCTTAAAATAGGGAGCCACATGCAGGGCAAAAATTTCACTCAAGTTGTCTCTCAAAAATTTTACGCATGTGTTCAGGCACTCCAAAAAATTGACGTTCATTCTGAGTTTCATGCAGGGGAGGGAGATACCGAATTGTTCTAACAGCTTTCCCCCAGTGGAAGTGTACACATTTCTAAAGTAGTTAAATATTCTGAACTCGTTTGAGCTGTAAATCATGTAAGCCATTTTGTAAACGCATTTGAGTGCTCTTCTGAAGAAATTGCTAGCTCGCTCTCTGTCCATCTTACAAGCTGTTGCACCGAAACCGACACTCAAAACCTGCAGTAGTGCACCCTTCACTAGGTTACATTTTTCCAAAAATTTTTCAAAAGTGGCAAAATCAACATGAATATAATCCAGTCCATATCTCTTCTCACACAGGAGCGTTGTCACGAGTAGATAGTAGCAGACAAAATGATGGTAGAAAATATTAACTTCTTTTCTCAAGTTAAAGTATTCACAAATGATGGCATTAAAAAGGTAGTACAGAGCATCATCATTTGCCATGTCTTCATGTATACTTAGAGATTTTATATAGATGGTCAGATGCAAAATTTCTGCGTTTTTTTCTTCATTATGTTTTAGAATGTTATTTATCTCGTCTAAAAAGTGGAGAGTGCATAGTCTGTTTCTCTTTACGTCTTTCTGTAATTGTTCTCCCATGAGAAAAACCTCTTCATTCACTTGCTTCATCTCTTTACTTTTCACCTCCTCATCGTTTAATGTGTCATCCTGCTCGATCATATACTTTAGGCAATTCTGTAGCTCGGCCAAAATTTCCTCAGGACAACGATATTCCAGGCCAAACAAACTACCCTTAGTACTATCACAAAAGTGTATGTCATTTTGAAAAACGCTCGAGAATAAATTAAAATTATCTAAGTTTTTCATGGCCGGAATGTTTAACTTCTTGCTGAGGAAGTGCTTCAATATGTAAATCCATCTCTTCTTCTGACCTACGCCAGCATCTCTGCACTGCACATTTAATATGTTTCTCACCTCTGCAACGTAATTTCGGGAGATGTCTTCAAAGTTGTTGTGAAGATCCATGTTGGTTAAAAATTGGTCCAAGGGTTTTTTTGTTTTTACTTTTTTTCTCAGCCTAGTTAGGGATTCTTTCAATTCGTTCAGTTGGTCATGGAACCGGTTTTGCTTTTCCTCTGCAGGGGTAGTGGTGTTGTCCTCCCCCTCATCATTATCACCGTCATTTTGACAAACTGCTTTCTTTTCATCCTCTTCCGATGAATCGATAGTGGCTCCATTCTGCTGTTGCTGCTCCTCTTCTTCTTCGGCTACAGACGATCCACTTGAACTGTGCACATCGGGGCTCACTTCATCTGCGCGTGGGTCTGCAAACGTGTCATCTATACCGTTTTTCGCAAAACTATAATTCTCACCATGTGCACGACTCCCACCCTTCCCCTCTGACCCAAAGGAAGGACCATTTTGCACAATGAGCTTATCCACGGTGACGCTGATCTGCTGAAAATATAATTTAGTGAAGTAGGCAATTTTCCTTTTTAATTTCATGATGGACCACTTGTATGCCTCCAGATCCACCAAGTCAAAGTTCATTTTTTCTAAAGCCATCCTGAGCTGAACGTCAAAATATTTCTTAGAATCTTCAATTCGTTTTTTTATAAGTGGCAAATATATTCTCATGTAGCTGTACACATTTGAGAACACATTGCTCATCATCCTTTCGCTCTGCCTTTCCGAATTCTTAAACAAATGTGCGATGAAGTCTATCAGGTTTAGCCGAGCAGGGAATTCCCCCACCATCGAGTCCCTTAAGAAGATGACCAGCGTTTCGAATGTCTTCACAATTTTCACCTTGGCCAGATTTTCCAAATGGGCGTCGTTATCACAATTATTGGGATTATTCTGAACAACATTTCCACTTTCACTGTAGTAATTTCCCTGCGTGATATTCACCCCGTTGGCACCTCTGTTCAACTCCTCCCCTTGCGTATCGTCATAGCAAAGATAAAACATATAGGAGAATAAACTGAGAGTCCTTTTTTTCACAATTTTCCTATTTAAGTTTTTCCGAATAATTTTTACACTATTCAGTTTGTAGAGCCTGAAGTAAACTGTATAGATTAGCAGATCTTCAGGAGCGTTGTTGTGCATGACTTCCTTGACCTTCCTCATGGTGACCTCATCAAAGCTTACATAATTGTCATTCTTAAGAGAGAGGATGAGCGTAACCAAGTGTTCCAATTTATGAATTATCTTTTCTATCTCATTATCAATGTTGTTGATGGAGAAACTTAGTATATTATTAATGACATTGAGTATACTGCACACATTTATATTTCCGCTTTCGTTATAAATGGGTACAAACTTGTCCTTTAAATTGATGAGCAAAAAGCACAAGTCGTTCAAGGCGCTGAAAATATATTCCATGAAGTTATCATCTAGCAGGTTAACATAGTTGTTTATATATATGTGATTTTTGTTCCTACAGTTTTGCAAGCATTCTGCTATTTTTTTCTTAAAAATTGCAAACTTGTTATCATTATATTTTGTCAAGTCGCTAAATTGGTTCAACATGTTAAGTGTAAAAAGGAGGAGCCTCTTCTCTTCATTCTTCTTCCTCAGAAGAAACGTGCATCCGTTCTGTCCTTCTACCCCTTTTGCGTAAGAAGAGATGACGCTAGTTTTTTTCTCCACACATTTTGGATCCTTCCGCATGCCGTCCTCCCCGCAATGCAGCCTTATGAGCATATCCAGCGTGTGTCGTATGCTTTTTTTCGTTATTTCAATTTCACTTCTGGGAGGTTTCTTCCCGTTAGTGTACTTTCCCCGCTTGAATAACTTTGCCATTTTGTAAACAATTTTGTTGAAAAACGCTTCGTTTGGCTTTTCTGTGTCTACTTCTTTGGTGTCACGTTCGCTGCTATCCTGTTGGCCACGTTCCAGATCCGCATTTTCCATATCCTCCGCTCTGCTGTCCTCTTCCATGTCGTCCTCGCTGGCAACTCGCTTGGTACCCCCTCCAACCGATGTGACTTCCATCGCCTGGGTTGAAAAGTATTCCTTTGAATAAAACACGCTGTCCAACTCCTGCTCGATGTTCCTTTCTATAAAATCTCTGTCGACCAAACTTTGGTGCATCTCCTTGGCGGTCCTACTCTTGAATTGATCAATTTTGAGGAACTCATTCATATTGTCCATCTCGTCTTTCTCATTATAAATGACAATCTTTCTGCACATTCGTTTTAGCAGAGGGAGCAAAAATGCCACATCAAACTGTGTAGAAATATTCCTCGGTTTTCTTAACATTTTTGTGACAAAGTGGAGGTACTCCATGTCATCAATTTGGCTTTCATAGCAATTTTTTTTTAGCTTTAAAATTTTGTTAAAATTGAGTGGAAATTTAATGCACCTGTATAAATCATTCCTCTTGTTTCCTTTTCGGTCAAGTTGGAGGATGCCTCGCGGGATGGTTGTCCTTCTCTCCATTTTTCCACATTCCCCCCTTTCCTTACTTCGCAGTATAGAGAAATTAACCCCGTGCACTGCGTGTATAAGCACACTGACCGAATGAGTAATGGCCTGCGCAAACTTTGACACCAAACTGTACTTCTCCTTTACGTGATGCGCAAAATTGAGGCACGTGTTTATAACGGAAGGGTTAATCAAATCGTCCGAATTGATCAGGGCCAACAGAACATTATTTTCTATACTGTCTAATGGTAGCAAATTTTTTATAAATTCCTTGTGCTCATTTTTTAATTCTAAGTATAATGTTTGCATGTTTTTTGCGCTGTTTTTACTTATGTACCCCTTGATGAAGTACGCACATGGATTGTTATTCTTTTCACATCTGAACAACAGATTTTCCAATTTTTTCTTCTTCTTCCCTTTCTTTATATTTTGTAACACCTTTGGTAGTAGGGGTACATTCATGTTCATATTTTTTATGTGTCCCTTCAACTGTTTCTTCCTCCTCATTTTGATGAAATCGCTATAGGACACCTGCGCAAATGGGTTCACTTTCTCTATGTACATATTGTGTTGGGAACCCATGTAAATTTCTTCCTTCAACGATGCAACTGACTTGTTCACATAACTCTTCACTTCCATCTGTTTGAAAATGTTTTTAATTTCTTTCCTCACTTGAGAGCAAATGACGTTTAAAAAGTAGTGTGAAATGTAGAGACAGCCCAGGGAAAAAAGGAACTCCTCTTCTTCGTACTTCTCTGTCAAATCTACTGCGATGAGATGATCCGGAAAGAGCAGATACAGCATTTCGCGCACCTCCTTGTTCGTCTTCCCTAGCGCGTGTTCCATCCAGCTGTACAACTCTTCAGGGTTTTCACTCGGTTCATCTTTTATCCCTTCAACATATTCACACGTTGCGGTTCCTTCGTTTATGCATTTTTTTGAGTCGTCTATGGTACATTTTGCAGGCAAATAATCACCCGTTGAGGGATGCATATGATGTTGGGTATCAGGGAAAAGAGAATCATGTGATCGGAACATCACCTCGCTAGCGTTTATTGGGGATCCCTTTTCACCTCCTCCATTGTGGCTCTGCAAATTACTTAAAATAAATTTAAACAGAATAAACAGCACTGCAAAGACGTACTTTTGGCTTTTCTCAAGATAAAAAACTTTATCTGTCAAGCTGCGCATACATCTGTGTATCTCCAACAAATGCAGTAACATTTCGGGGGATGCCTTCTTCCCTTTCCCATCTATTATAAAACGGAAAAGTTCCAGAATGTACAGAAGCAATCTGTCGCTCTTCGTTTCCTCCCCTTTTAACGCTTCACTGTTTAATATGTTAAAAAGTATGGTCATTGCGTGGAAGGCGAAATAGTACCGCGTGCTGCTTTCCCCTCTGCTATTCAGTAATCTTTTGCTAGTCCAAAAGGTTTCTTCTCCGGGAAGACAAACAGTTGACATCGCCGCGCTGGGTGGTACCATTGCTTTAGGGGCAGCCCTTTCCACATAGTCCTGATAACTCCTTTTCAAGTTGCGAAATATAACATTGCTCATGTTTAAATAAAACAAGGTAATCTTCTTTCTTCTCAAATCCTGATATACGCTCACAACTGAATCGAATATGACCGTTTTGTTTACCAAGGACGAACACACGTATGGATATAGCCTGAATGTGCTCGTCTCGTCGAAGCATTTGTTTACGTAAATGTCTTTAAACAACGTGTACCCTTCGTAAGTTACGTTGTTTCGCTTCATTTCATGGAGAGTAGCAGCAGTGTGATATCTCTTTATACGCGTTCCCTTTTCAATATTAGTGATAGGCTCAATAGTGTTGTTACCACTCCAGTAGGGGGACACCCCCTGATATGCTCCCCACCCTTCGCTAAAAAAGCCAGGTGAATAATTGGTCTCCTCGTCATTGTGGTAAAATTGGACGTGATTAACATCTTCCTTTGCGTAGTCGTAACTTTTGTCCTTCACCAGATACACATTCATTAGGAAGCAGTACAGAATGTTGAGCAATTCCTCCATGATGGAGAAGATGACCTGCAGCTCGAAGGGGTCGGACTCCTCCTTGGGGGCAGCATTTGCGAGGGCAGTTCTGGGGGCATCTTCCGCGTCGCTTTGCCTTCGCTGCTGCTGGGCCCATTCCAGCCTCCCATACTTCTCCTTCAGCAAACTCAGCACCTCGATTTTTTCTTCCTGCACAAATATGGTTTTTTCCATTCCGCGCAGGTAATTGTACATTTGTTGTATGTCCTCTTTTACGCGCTCTACAACAGTGTCGCTTATGTTTCTCCTGTGCGAACCTTCCCCTGGGTAGCTCGCCTCCACAGTTTTCTTCTGTGCACCACCCGCTTGGTCATACAGCTGCTGCCACTTCAACCACATGTACGTGTTTAAAAAATAAACGAATGTGTTATGTAAATACTTCAAGTCTATGTTAAAAATCATAAACTGGTAGTGAGAGAACAGTTGGTTTCCTTTTCCATCCGAGTTGTCTCCATTTGGTGGGAAGTCTTTTCGTCCATCCTGTTCGCTGCCTTCTTCATTCTGGTAGCCCTCCATCGGCTGGAGTTTCTCCTTCGACGTAAATTCACCCATATGTATCACTTCCTTTTTTGTACCCAAACTGTTCATAATTAATTTCTCCATGTGTGTTACCTTGGGGTGATCATGTGGTAAAACTTTTAAAGCATAAGAAAAAGACTTTGTTTGTATAAGAAGATTTTCTACATCATCATCCACGTTTTGTCCCTGTTCTCCATCATAAAGAAAGCTGTACAATGGACTTATTCTTTTACCCTCTTCTACACCGCTAACGGAGCGACTCAGCATGGCGTAATAATATCTGCCCAGATTCACCGATTGTATGAAATGACTTATATATATATTATTAACAATTTCGAATACGTTTTTTACCCACTGATTGGAGAAGTACTCAATTGAAGGGGTCAGTACAATCATCTGTTCTTTTCTGGAAGGTTCTCTCCACCATTTCATTTTTTCCTTCATTCTGTTCAAGTTGTTCAACGGGGAGTTCTCACTTTGGTCCCAGTGGCTACCTGCTTGGATGTCCTCAACAGTGGTATGCAATTCACGCCAATCAGCTACCCTTTTTGCCTTTTGTAAAAATTTCATTAATCTGCAATTATGTTTAAAACACTTGTCCCACTTAAATGCGTACTTAACTGCGTCAACCAGGAAGATAATTTTCAAGTACATAGCATCACTCTTGAAGTTACATAAGTAGTCGAAAGTGAATAGGTATAGGAAGAGGTAGTAACTGAAAGCGTCTTCATCCTCTCTGGAGCTGCTTCCATTCTGAGTCATTTTGAAGAGTATCTCCTCAACATGCATTAGGAATTTGTTCGTTAGGAGCCAGACGCGGCGGTCCGTCGTCCTTGTTGACTTCGCGGCTGGCCCACATTCACTATTGTTTTGACATTTTGCAACGCATTGGGAGATTGCAAAGTGGTGGTAACTTTCGAAGTACTTGTAGCTCAAATGCCACTTGAGAAACGCCTCAAACAGGTACTGCCGCTTCGCCAGTTTTTGATCTTCTTTAGCGAGAAGGTGTTTCCTCGCGGTGGGGAGTGGTCTAAGTGTGTCCCTTGCAGCGGTTAGTAAGTTCCCACTACACCCTCCACCAATCGAGACAAACACACAATCGCGCATGACAGCAAAGTAGTCCATCTTCCCCCTTATAACTCTGCTCGCAATAAAATCGAGGTACTTCACCATATGTACCTGGTCATGAACATTACCACTAAGGATCATCCTGTTCTTAATGTTTAGAAGATGCTCATATCTGTAGAAGAGGTCATTGTAGGAAAAATTTTCCAAAAAGCAGTACACAGAGTAGCAAAACAGTCTATTCAATTTGAGGTTGCTCATCGAGTTCACCAAGGCCATCTCTTTGGTTATGTAAAGTGGAGGACATGCTCCTGCGTCGCTGGCGAAGGGGCCTCTCTTCCGTTCCTTCCTATAACTTCTGTAATAGGTATTAACATAATTAATGAAGCAATAAAAATAAAAGTAAATAAAATGCCTCGACTTGATCCTGTGAGCGAATTTGTTCGAACAATTCATTCTTCCTATACACACATGCTGCAAGTTTCCGCTTTTTACAAAGTAACGGATCCCATTTTTGATGTCAAGTATCGTTCTTAGTACACATTTGTGAAGACATTCAAAAAAAGGGAAAAAATATAATTGCGTTTTTTCATTCAACTTGGAATACATTTGACAGTAAAAATTTACAAATGAATTTGAAAATATTTCTTTCCATTGCTTAAAAAGGGGAACAACTTTTTTTTCACCATCTATTTGATTCTTTCTGACCCTTAAAAAGTGGCTGCACATATACATGATGTAATTATCTACATGGTAAAAATTATTCTCGAACTTATGATTTAGCAATGCGCTTAGATGGATTTTAAAATTTTTGTACCACTTGATGTTCTTTCGCTTCCAATTTTCCTGTTCCATCATGCGAGCGATTTGTCTCCTCTTTTCTGTCACCTCTTCTTCTCCGAGCATGTACTCCATCAAGTACAGCGTCATCGATATGGCTACGCAGAAATATATAATGTCTGTGGTAGGTCTCACTCCCTTCACGTTTAGGAAACGTTCGTAGCAGTAATTTACATAATCCATCATTTTGGTGCAATTCGTTTTTATATTCCTCTTGTCGAAGAAGAGGGTTACCATTTCTGCCTTCACATCTTCGCCACGGTCACCTGCAGACGCAACTGCGGGATTAATGGCGACGTCCCGACTTCCATCCCCCACCTCCTTCTGAAGTTTCTTCGAAAAGGCCTGCATCATGTAGTGCAGCACGTTGCCCTTGCTGACGAGGTTCAAATATTCTTGTTCTTCCGCCTTCACCTCTGTATCGTTCACCTCTATCTCGCGGCTTCTCGCCCCGCTAAAGCACATATTCGCCACGTGCATTACGATGCTTCTATCAGGTGTACTACTCTGCTCAGCGTCCATATTGTTCCCCTCAAAAATGGCAGCTTCACTGCTAGCGGCACTTTCCGCTCGTGCCCCCTCCTCACTACTCTGTTCCTCAACCGTATCAGTTGTGCGGTAGAAGGGCGATGGATCATCTGTGGCAAAAATGCTGCCCCCCGATTGGTCATACAAATTTACGGCGTTCCCAACATACTCACAAGAGGGCCCTCCAAAGTGAATCTCAAAACAGCGGTTTCGCAACGCTTTACTAATTTTGTAATGTTCCTCTGAATTTAAGGTTAAAAAGATCTGGAAATTTTTGTGGGGCTTGATTTTTTTCTTCTTTCCGAATTCGTGTAAAAGCATGTTTCCGTTTTCCTCAAAGAGACTGTTGAGTCTGTCCAAGAGAGAGGGGGTCGAAAGGTGCACATGCTTAACAAGGACCCAATGTCCATTCCTGATGGCCTTAATAAAATTCCCCTCATTGTAAATATATACATTTTCGTTAATATTATTCTTCCTAATGGTTTCAAAAAGGTGCGTTATGTCTAAGAGGGTTTTCTCGATGCGGACTTTTCTTCTCCTGCACTTATTTTTCATTATCGTCGTGGTCTTCAAACTGGTTTTCACAAAATGCACGTAGTTCCTCTCAGCGGACATGGCATCCTCATCAGATACATCACCCTTTGTCAACGCACTAATGAATTCATGTGCCAAATAATTTAATCTCACCATGATGTTAATTTTGATTCGTTTGCTTCTACGTTGTAATTTCCCTTTGGAAAAATAAGAGTTGTAAAATTTTTTAAAATTTTTTCTTCTCAATATGTTTCTCAACAGAAGTTTATTCAAATTGTGCATTTTTCTTTCCACTTTTTTTATTACATTATCCCGACTGTTGTGTTCATAGCAACCGAATAGGTCGAAGGTGTCCATGTCATTCGTTAGCGCAAATTCGAATAGCTTCTTCTCAAATGTGTGTGCCAACTGGTTAACGAAGGTGGATTTTCCGGAATTATTTTTTCCAATTAACAGAATGGGAATACTTAACCTTATCGCCGCTTCGCATGCATAGTAAATTTTCTCGTCTTTGGACAGCAAAAAAGTGGATGGCCGTACTTGACTTGGTACCTTTCTCATTCTCCCTAGGACTGATTTACGTGTCCATTCATATGCGGCGCTAAGATTAGCCTCGTGGTAATACAAATTTGTGTAAAATGCGTTCAAGTGGTTCACCTCGGTGTTCCTCACACCGGCGAGCAGGCTCTCCCTGGACGTTGCTTCGGAGACCCGTTTTAAAAATTCTTCCCTTCTAGTGCCGCCGCATTCTCCCCAAATACCACAACCACTGTATACGTTCGCTATAACGAAGCGCACGATTTCTTTATCCTCGGCACATGTGAGACGGCTACACACGAGCATATCGCAGATAGGGACAAAGCTGGTTCCTCCCCAGCAAGGTGTGTCACAATCGCCGGCAGTCCCACCGGTGGCCTGCAAAAATTTGCAAATGCGCAAAATGTCCCGCAGATTCCACACCCAGCACTCACTGTCCCTAAGGAGGGGATTTATTTTCTTCATCAGGAACGCCACGCTTATAATCTTTTGTATGTCCTCCTTGGGGATGCAGCTGCCATAGAGCCTCTGTACAATGCACAGGTAGTCTTCCTCGTTCAGTTCCTCAAAATATATTTTGGAAAATCTGTTCAGGAAGGATTTGGGCAGTCCCTTCCTGCCTCCCCCTTCGCTGTACGGATTTTGACAACAGAACAGTCGAAAGTTCGGATGACACCTAACCATTTCGTTCGTTTCGGGGATAAATATTTCTTTCCTGTGATCCAAAATGGAGTTGATCCCCTCCAGGGTTTGCTGGTTGGCTAAATTTATTTCATCAATAAGGATCCAATAGCCCTTCTTCATGCACTCGATGAGTTTTCCGTCTTTCCAAACGTACTGAAATGAAGACTTGGCGGGTTCCCCCGTTTTGCAGCCATCATATATTTGCTCTTCCCCTTCTTCTTCTCCTCCTTTATGGAAAACCTGATTGTTTCCCTTATCTTGGTTCCCACTTTTGGGGCCTGTTCTCTTTTCATCCTTTATGGGGAAGTAGGATCCTACCAAGTCGTAAATGTCGGTGCACTCGGATAAATTAATTCTGATCAATTTATTATTTGTCAATTTGGCTAAGATATTAATTATGCACGTTTTTCCAACCCCAGGAGAGCCCTCCAGGAGGATAGAATTGTCCAGCTGCATTGCTCTGATAATTTTGAATAAATTCTTTTTAATGTTTGGCGTGTCAAATACGAACTGACAATTTTGTACAAACTGATCAAATGGGGTTGTAAGTTTTTTCCTAAATTTGATTCGAAAATCGTTCACCTGGAGGTACTTTCTTTTAAACTTAAAGTTATATGTTTGGTTGAAAAGGGCTTCTACTATCCGCGTAAGTCCCTCACTTTTCTGTACCCCCTTCTTGGCCACGTTAAAATTAATGGACGAAGCCAAGTGTAGCAAGCTCCTCCGCAGTAGTTCTTTCAAAACCGTTTTCGTTTTGGCGTCCTCTTTTCCGTCTATGAGAATGAGAAAACCGCTGTGGAAGAAACTTTTCATAATGTACCATTTGAGGGTTCTCATCTTTGGCTTGACCCCCCTGCGAAGGTATATCATTTCCTTCCGTCTACTTACATAAATATTCATAAAGGAGATCCACTTAATGGTATCTCTAACCGAAAGGATGACATCATTTGTAAGGGATTTATTTTGTGCGATTTGTTGAAAAAGGCGGCGCAGACAATCGGCCGTCGCACATTTTAAATTCTTCACTTTTGAAAACTTCATCTGCTTGAGGATTAAAAAGTAGTAATCCTCCGAATCGTAGGCAAAGGGTGCCACAAAAATTTCTGTAAACCTATTTTTCAACGTTTGTGAGATTTCCTTTTTTCCAAAATCACCACTTGGATTCATCGTTCCTATGAAGCAAAATTCATCGTGTGCCTTTACATTTTGGATATCCTTCCCTCCTTTTTCTGTTAATAATAAAGTCCTTTCATATTCCAACACGGAGTTTAGTCTTTCTATGACTGCAGATTCTACTAGAGAAATTTCATCCATCAAAAATATATCTCCCTTTTTTAAAGAAGAAACGAGTATGCCATCAAACCAGGTAAAAAGGGACTTTAAATTGTTTATGGACTTCTCCAATTTCAGCAATTTGTTTTTTATAGATTCGCTTAGGGTGTACCTCTTCTGTAGATATAATGTAAATATAAGTAAGTCTTCCTTCTTTACTTCCCTAATTTGATCATGTATTATACCACTTAAATAGTTGGCTGCAGATGTGTCGCCATAATGGCTCAATATTTCATTGTACAATTCGATGCAGTTTTTTTTTACCTTTTCGAAATTTTCTTTTTTATTTCTCACCAATTTTAAGCTACCTATAATATCATACACATCTGTGCTTTCGTTGCAGTTTAAAATATTTAGTTTTTGATTTTTCACAAAACTTAGTAATTCACAACAGGTCGTCTTTCCACACCCCGTTTCTCCGATCAGCAACGCGGATTCTTTATGTTTGAAGCATTTTAGCAGAAGGCACAAAATTCTGCTCGTGCTTTTTCCCAAGTGCATATTCTTCAGATATTCGACTCTGGCCACGTCGTCGTGTGAAAAATTCTGGGGTTTCTCCCCTACATCGTCTTGTTCCCCTGTGCTCATCATGATGCTGCCGTCTACATCCACAGATCCATCCAAATGTGAAATCTTCTTCCAAAAAGCCTCTTTCAAAAGGAGCACATCTCGATCGTCCTCATAATTCACAAGCAATTCTTCCCCCTTGGGTAGAAAATTTTCACTTAGAATACCCTTGACAGTACGCTGATCCTTCTCATTTCTTAGCTTCTCCGCAATGATGTAGTATCCCTGTAAACAAGCATCCTCATTGCTCCTTGGACATCTGTTTCCCCATTTTATTAAATCACGCAGGGTCATTAAATTATCATTAAAATAGTTGTAATTTGATTTGACGATCCTCAGTTGAGAAAAAACACGTATCATTTTTTTTGCAATACTTGGAGATATGGCACATCGTCTGTGTAAAATAATTTCCAATTCATTCTCTTCAAAATCGTTGATGTAAAATTCTATGAATCTACTCCTAAAAGCTTTTGACAATTCTTTCCTCCCCAGATAGTTATTATTATTGGCTGGGTTTTGAGTGGCAAAAAGCATGAAGTCTTTATGTGCCTTAACGTACCGTTTCAATTCAGGGATGTACAATTCTTTATTGTCATCTAAAATTCTGTTTAAGGATTCTAAAACTTCTGACGGTGCTAAATTCAGTTCATCTAGAACAACCCAGTACCCATTTCGTACTGCCTTTACAAAAATCCCCTCTTCGAAAATTAAATTTCCAGTACTGGGATTATTAACAAATTGCCCAAAGTACTCATTTATATCTGTGTTCATGTGATTATTTATTCTTACAAATTTGTGTCCTGTTATGTCTGCAAAGAATTTTACCAATGAGGTTTTTCCAACAGAGGTGTTTCCCTCCAATAAAATAGGCGTTTTGGAGCCACTCAAACAGAGCGCCAGCTTTCTGATATTTTCCTTTACATTTTTCGTAATTATAAAATGGGAGAGAATATTTACGAGATTTATTTGTTCTCTTCCGCAAAGGATCCAGCTATTTTCTACACATGCGTACTTGTCCACATGATCACTCGTTTTGGTTTCCCCTCCCCGGGGATGCTGCTCCTGCCCTTGTTTTTCCACTTGATCCCTTTTTGCAACACTGGAATTTTTTACAAAGCAGGAGAGGTCATTTATTTCTGTGGAGGTTCCTTTTTTCGTGTCGAAATGTTTATACTGATAGTAGCTCTCTAACATGGCATAATTGATCACACCGTTTTTTTCAATTTGCATGCTTTTTTCATTTTGTACACCTCCACTTTGTTGCGCACCCTTTTTTCCTGGCCCACATTTGAAGTGTTTATTAAAAATGTGATCCATTACTTTCTCATCATTTACACTAACGGAGCTTAAAAAGTTACACACAAATCCATTTCTAACAGCTGCGTTTAGCGGCAACGGGTTGAATTTTCTTTTGTGTACGTAGACTGCATACTGTACTGCTCTTACTAAATTTCGGGTGGAAAAGAAAATGGGCTTATTTTGTGCGCCGTTCATATTTTTCAAACTTTCCTTCTTTACTTCAAGGTAGCAGTTGGTGATATTTTTTATCAACTCCCCATCAGAAGTGACTTTCCTAAGTAAGTGCTTAACCACCATTTCGACATCCTCGTATTGTAATATTTCGTCCACAAAGATTTCTGTAAATTTGTTTCGTAAAATGGGCGGTAGTTCCTTCTTCCCGGATGATATAGAACTGTTATATAGGTCGATGTGGTGCTCGTCTTCGTCCACCTCATCCGTATTAACGTGGTCACCCTGGTGGAGAGAGTTATTATCCCTTCTTCCATTGTTCACCACCTCCCCTTCCTTCTTCTTCGCTTCTCCCCCCACTATACTCCCTTTTCCCTTCTTCAAATTTGGGATGATTGGAGGGTTCATACATGCAAATAGACGAAAGTTGGGATGAATTTTTATCTGCTCATTTCCTTTCTCCACCACATCGAAGTATTTATTGGATAAATCTAGTAACCCCTGCAATCGTTGCAAAATTTCCGTCTGTGCGAGATTTATTTCGTCCAGCAGTAACCAATAACCGTTTCGGATGCAGTCGATGAGGATGCCATCGTGGAATTTGAAAATTAACTCATTCGCATTTGTATTGCTCTCTTCTTCCTGTTGTTGCTCCTCTGGGGGCGCTTCGCAAGAGTTGCTCCGGATAAGGTCTCCATTTGGTTGTCCTCCTGTTTGAAAAAACTTATCAAATTGGAGTTTCAACGCGGGAAAGTTGTTACCATCCCGGTTACGTGCCTCACTTCCTCGTCCACTTATACCCCCACCGGATGTCCAAAAATGGATTACACCTTCACAGTCGTGCTGAAATATTCTGTACTTCTTCACAACACTCATATCAAAAATGCTGGTGTCATTTTCAAATTTCTCGACCAGACATTTGGCAAAATTGCGGCAGGTATTTAAAAAGGTGATAAATTTCTTCTCACTTAAAACGATTTTCAGTTTGAGGTAAAGCATATCTAACTCCTTCGGACACAACTGCTTACCAAGTTGGGAATTCAAAATTTTTAACTCTTCGAATAATTCATTTGTCTTTACACTTATATTGAATGGGTAATAATGTCCAATCAGATCTGATGCTTCAGACTGTTCGCTGAAGACAAAAACGAGTAATTTTTTTCTAAAAATTTTCGCAACGTAATCCACGAGGGCTGTTTTTCCAACTCCAGTGTCTCCTATGAGAAGTATACTTTCCTTATTGTGTACCCCTTCGATAATTTCGTACAAAATGGATTTATGCACGGACGTCAGCAGGAAGGAGGGATTCGTAATTTTCTCACAGTGTAAACAAATTTTCCCCTTTTCCTTTCTTAACGTTTCGTTAAATTGTTCCATGTACTCATTAAGGGTGTTCAATTGTAACCACTTGGTAACTATTTTTTCTTGTAGGTCGAATATTTTGAGAAGTTTTTTCTGGAAGTAGGACCGTAGGTTGCAATTGGGCACATGCGACGTCAGGATAGATTTGCACGTTTGAAACAGTATGGATCCCGTTTTCTCATTTTCGTGCATAAAGATTTTTCTTTTCTTAACCCGTTTGATAATTTTTATCAAGTCGTGCAGGTTGATGCTTCTGAACAAGGGGTACTTCTCCAGTAGGGTCTTCACGCTGTGGTAGGCCTGAAGTATTACTGCCCTGTAATTTTCATTAACTCCATGCTTCAATTTCTTGCGCAAAATTTCTTCTACTTCCTCCTCCCTGTAGCTTCCAATATGTACACTGTGCCACTTGTTGAACAGGCTGCTCAGGTGGCTTGGGCGCTGGTTCAGTCGGACAAGTTCGCTCAGTTGGCCCTTCAAGGTCGGCTCGTCGCCGCTAATACGACTTATACCATCTGCGCCGCCAACACCGCTAACCCCACGAACAGCATCCCCCACCGTGATGGTCCCGAACAGGCGAAAGTCCTTGTGCGGATAAATGTGCTCTCCCTTTTCAGACAAATAAATGTGCCCCTTGCTAGTGAACTCGCACAACTTCTCCACCACACTACTGGAAATGTTATTCACATTTTCGAACACGATCCAATTACCACTCATCATAGCTTTGGCCAATACGCCAAACTTAAATTCGAAGCGCTTCTCATTGCTTTCCCAAATACCCAAGATGGATTTAGAATCTACCACGTCGTCTAAGTATAAACTTATAACATTTCCTTTTTTCTCCTTTTCATTTTCAAATATTTTTTCATGTATGTAATTAATTAGGGACGTTTTTCCCGAACCCTGACTTCCTATGAGGATAGTTGGTCTGTTGTCATAAATGTTTGTTACTATCATTTCGATTACGCTCTTCAGCCTTCTGGTCAGGACAAATTTATTTGGTCCTTCTCTCTTCGCCCGTTTGAATTCTCTCCCTTTGATGCAAAAGGATGGGTACACCACTGATTCAATGTCCACGCAAAATTTGACACAAGCATTATCTTCTCTGTTCACTCGAAACTTGTCCAAGTGTAAGTAGTGCAGGTTGTGTATGTTGTATCCGTGCTTTAGCAAGACGCATCGTATATCGCGCGATGCGTCGTCAATCACTTCGCCGTTATGTGCAGTCACTATGGAGCATTCAAATAAGGGGGAACCCTCACTAGGCGTGACATCTTTTTTTCTAACGAGCTGATTGGTCAAAATGTCTTCTACAAAAACAGTCCGCCCAATTTCATGATAATGCAAATAAATCTGATAAATTAAATCCTCAAGAAAAGGGTTCCTCCGTTTACACTTTAAAATTGCTGGCAACAGATTCAGGTACGCTCTGTCCAACGTCTTCTCCAAACTCAGGTGGCAAAAAAGGAGAAGCATTTGGATGCAGTAGTAAGTGTAAGTACTAAATGACGGGTGTTTGACGGGGATACTGAAAATGCCCTCCTCGTGATTGACACCTATTCCCTCCACCAGCGGGCAATTCTGCTCCTTCAAGTACCTTGACACGATTGCATAGAAGTACCCATAACAGTGAGCAGATTTAGGAAACACCTCCTTAAAAAAATAATCGATTGCACTTTTAAAAAATGAATCCTTGCTAAACAATATGCTATTCATACATATCATACAAAAATATAATTCGACATTTATATTATACTTTTTAATAAGATTGTAAATGTGCAAAACGGGAGGCTTGTCACCTCCGCCAATTGTCGTTTCCCTCCCTCTTCTCATTACATTCATAGTAACCACGCAGTCTGTCTTTGCTCTTTCTTTCTGGTCCCCCCCGTTGCAATAATTGTAACTTGCCAAATGTAGCGCCTCCTGAAATATCTGATTCACTATCGACGCGGTCAACAGGTTAAAATATTTTAACGAAATTTTTAACAAGGACGGTTCGAACAGGGTTAGGATGATTGTCTGGGTTAATATCAAATCTGTTGTGTATTTATGTCCTCTTGTACGCACGCCCCTGGATGGTTTTCCCAGCATTTCTTGCTTTAAGATAGTAGTAAGCGTGGTTCTGCCCAAATCTGTGCACAGCGTCTCGGCCGTAGGTGTGTGCACGACCTGCCTTGCTTCCATCCCACATACATCATCGCTGCTTCCTCCATTTGTGACATGTACATTTTGGGCTAACGGGGCATGTGCATTACGTCTCTTAAGTCGCGCAGCATACGCTTTATGCCGAAGCAATTTGTGCAGGAGGAAACAATTCTTATAAATATGTTTAACACAGTTACGTTCGAAGTATGGACAATCCTTTTTACTTCTTCTCCTTTGTGACGAGTCTTCCTCTTGATTGGATCTGTCTATCCAAGTCGTTTTGTCTTTACAAATGGGGCTTTTCCATGCCCTGATGTGGCTTATTATTTCTTCACACCACAGAAGTTTTGTCCTGTCCGCCCGAGTTTTCATTTTTTTTTTTTTTTTTAATTCACAAACGTGGTTAAACGGCGTGCACAAAAAATATGCACATGCACATGACTGTATGATCGTTCCAGGAAAATTTTTGCATGACGGTAAAAAAAAAAAACGAACAAGCTGAATACACCACTTGGGCTATGTAAAACAATGGCAGCAGGCGATGGTGTATCCCTGACTCACTTTAAGTAACTTAAATCTATGTGTGCAGTTGTGATTTTTCGTGATCTCAACCCGGTTGTACAGCGTCTGCACTGAACAAATTATTTAATTAACGCGCTCAAATGAGAGCTAGTAACTAAGCGATAAGTGCACAAAATGGAAAACAAGCTGCAAAGAAAAACATGACAAACAAACTTGCAAACAAATTGGTAAACAGACAGACAAGCAAACTTACAAACAAAGGACAAACGAATTACAAAAAGGGTGTACACTGCGGTAGGTAGCACATAACATAATTATATAACACAGGGGTGCCTTTCTCCTTTGATGCACGGTGATACAAAATATGTATTGTCTGTCCCACTTGGGAAGACTTGTTTTCTTCAGTACTTTTTCTTTTCCAAATGGCTGGTGTTTTTTCCCGCCTTCGAGAATATAACGATTGTTACCCCCGCTAACGGAACAAAACTAGGGCAAAACAGTCACTACACTTATGGTTGCACAATTATTATGAAAAATGAGACGCCTCACAGAGCGGATGGCCAAATAACCAACCACCTGCAAAGCGCACGAACAAGATATGCTTAACAACGTTGGTGCGCTGGGAACTTTGTAAAAACAAAGCGCAGCTCCTCAACGTGTAGCAAGGAAAATATACGTAAACCAACACGCACGTACTTTCGTACGTACGATTGTAAAACCAAAACAAGATGGAAATTACAAATGAAAGATTCACAAATAAGATCGTTAAAGATTCGCTGTGAAAACATGAAACGCAAACAAACTGCGGGATAGTAAAAAAAAAAAAAAAAATTCCAAATTTGTTCATATTGTTGTATGCTTTATATATGTATACAGGATGCCTCCGCGCAAGTTGCCAATCTCGAAATGGAAGAACAAATGGATGCGGGAAAAAAAAAAAAAAAAAAATAGCAAGCCAGGCCCCGGGACCCAAGCCCCTATGCGCGTCAGATGTAGGAATACATTTTGGATGTTATATGTTGGTATGCGCCCAGCGGGGCGGTCGAAACAGGAAAAAAAAAAAAAAAAAAAAAAAAAGGAAATACTCCCAGCAATGCATACTGTTCCGACGCCAACCGCAGCAAAGTACGTCACAAGTATGCAATCGTATTTACGTACATGTACATGTATTTATTTATGTATTTTTATTTTTTTTATGCTATTATTTGGTTATTCATTTAATTAGAGTCAGGCGCGTGCCACCAGAAACGCGCCGTCCCGTGTCAGTAGTTGTGCCAAACAGCCAAAAAGTTGGCCACCCAGAAATACCCAAGAGAACATCTCGCAGGGCAAAGGGGTTCTTTTTCCCCCCCAAAAAAATTTTGAAATTGTGCAGAAGGGGAAAAAGGAAAAGAAACAAAGTGGCTGATCGCTAACGGGCAGAATCATAAACAGAGAGACGCTCCGTTCTCCACGCGCATGTGACATACGACAACCATACGCGTGCTAAGCAAACGGGCGTAACTATATGCTGATCTCAAACCGCAGTACTTTCCAAGCAGCGCTTCAAACAACATGAACAGGAGTAACAAAGGGGGGGCGAAGGGCAGCACCACTAGCGCGAAGAAGAAACCCACGCAGAACAATGACAAGAACAAAGGGGCCAAAAGCGGCGGGGTTCAGGGTTTAGGGAATAAGACGACAACCCAGGAGAAGAACGAAAAGAGGGAGTGCGCCGATGTGCATGAGGTGAACGAGGAAACTACCAACGGGGAAGCGATGAACAAAGAAACGGCGAACAAGGCAACTTCAAACAAGGGGGCCGCCAATAAAGGTGCCGCGAATAAGGGTGCAGCCAACAAAGGAAACGGTGGCAAGACACCCGCGAAGAAGGGCAAGAAGAAGGTGGACAAGCTGGACCTCATTCTGAACGAATTCAAAAACGAAATAAACCAAGGGGGACCCCAACAAAATGGCCAGCACGGAGCAGAAGACGAAGCTGCAGCGGTAGAGGCGGAGGAGAAATACAAAATAGACTTTGACGAATTCGAAATTGAAAAAATAAAAAAAAACATCACCCTGAAAGAACACCTAATGGAGGAGCAAAATAATAGCCACATAAGATTATTAAACAATTGGCCCCAAGTAGAAAAGAGCATACAAACGAGCCCAGCAACGATACCAATTGAAATGGTGTACCAAGGAAAAAACTACCCAGTTGGAGAAATTCAAAATTATAAACATGTCCTTAGTGGAAAAACACTACAAGAAAAAAAAGAGGTCGAAAAATTAAATGCGGATTATTATGAAGATTTAAGAAAAGCTGCAGAGTGTCATAGACAAGTGAGAAAATACATACAGTCGTATGTCCAACCGGGAAGAAAAATGATTGACATAGTAAAAGAGACAGAGAAGAAAACAAAAGAGTTAATTTTGTCTCATAAGTTAAATTGTGGGTGGGGGTTCCCAACAGGATGTTCATTAAACAATTGTGCAGCTCATTACACTCCTAATTATGGAGACGAAACTGTTTTAAAATATGATGATGTTTGTAAGTTAGATTTTGGAGTACATGTTAATGGCTACATAATCGATTGTGCTTTTACTATTGCCTTCAACGAAAAGTATGATAATCTTATTAAGGCCACGCAGGATGGAACAAACACAGGTATTAGGGAGGCAGGAATTGATGCCAGAATGTGCGACATAGGAGAAGCAATACAGGAAGCTATCGAGTCATACGAACTAGAATTAAACCAAAAGATTTATCCCATTAAAGCTATTTCAAATCTCAGAGGACACTCCATTAATAAGTATATTATTCATGGAGGGAAATGTGTCCCCATTGTCAAACAGAAAGAAAAAAATGAAATAATGGAAGAGGGGGAATTATTTGCTATTGAAACATTTGCGTCCACAGGAAAGGGTTTTGTTACCCACGATAATGAATGCTCCCATTACATGAGAAACCCAGATAAACAATTTGTGCCCATTAGATTAAATTCTGCAAAGACCTTGTTAAAAGTTATTAACGACAATTTTGATACCCTTCCCTTTTGTCATAGATGGCTAGATGACTTGGGACAGAAGAGACATTTTATGGCCCTAAAAACGCTTGTAGATTTAAACATCGTGGAGCCGTATCCACCCCTGTGTGATGTGAAGAACTCCTTTACGTCTCAAATGGAGCACACCATTTTGCTGCGCCCAACGTGTAAAGAAGTTTTGTCTCGGGGCCCAGACTTTTGATCGCGCGGGAGTGCCCCCCCTCTCTGCACATGCACATGCACATGCGTATGCACATGGGTATGCACAGCAACGTTGGCATTATGCAGCAGGGGGTACTTTTGTTGTGACATTATTTGCCTACGTGTGTTTGGTATAAATGCGTCTATCCATCTGTGTTGGGGGAAAAAGGAGGAACCCCCAACAAAAGCTGCACATTTTACAAGTACACCACCTTGGCTGGATAAACCAGCGCGCTACGAAGAAATGTCCCCTTAGACCAACTGTGCGCCTGTGTTCTTCACACATGGGGATGCTAGCTGTCCACATATTATTCTATCAGGTAGGAGCTCCCACTCTGTGTGAGAAAATTCCTACGCAGAGTAACCTAAAATAGTACCAATTTTGTAGATTATTTCCGCGTCCACTAGGAAAAAAAAGAAAAGAAAAAAGCTGTTTCCCCCCTTTTTTTTTTTAATGCATCCCGGGGGAACCGCACCATCAAAGCGTACGCAAGTGCGCTCGTTCCTTTCCCCGCTTTGCATGACTCATCCAAAAGCATTTTTTGAACACCACCGCACTGCATATGCCCACGGGCGCGGGTAGGAAGCTTTGTTGGGGAATATACACATCTACGTCAAATGTTACAAACCCAATTTGAAGTAACTCTCAACCAACACATTTAGTTCACTTTTTAATAACTTATTCGTTTTGCACACTATGGCTTAATTGTGAGCAACCTACTGAACGGAGCGCGACGGTTCCTTTTGAGGCCGCGCAAAGCGCCTACACCGAAATGGTAACCCAAACCATTTTAACACATTTTTTATTCTCCCATTTTTTTGGAAGGCTGTTGATATTAAAAAATTCGTGTGTTACAGAAGACACAAAAAAAAAGAAAAAAAAAAAAGCGTAAGTACGTAAGTAAATAAATAGGGAGGGGGCAATAATGCACAAAGCGGGCATCATAAATGGTCGCGCAGTGGTAGAGTAACGGCGGCGCAAAGGCTGCCTTAAACGCAACGCCATGCACATGTACCAACGCACCATTACGAATAATTATTAATTCCACTTAAAAATAAAACAAAAATGGTGAATTTTGAAACATGCAGCTTTGGGAAAATGGCAACGCGAGGGAAGCAACCCGGGGCATGCTCACATACACACGTGGAGCAGCTCTCGCGTAGAGGCATATGCACCACAACAATGAAGTAGGAGAAAGCACAGAATTAATAAAAAAAAAATAATAATAAAATAAAAAAAAAGGCAGAGAAAAAAAAAAGCTCAACCTTTGAAATGCGCCACATGCATGTACGTTCAAACGTAGCTACCACCCATGCGCAAGTTGTTAATTAAAATTGATAAGGGTATACACACACATACTGGTTAAGCGGTAGTGGGTGGGGGTGAACACATCACTAGGCACAGAACAAATATCATAACATTTCACAATCACGTAAACATACGCAGGTATTATCTGCTATTTTTGGATGCCATTTTTTTTTCCAATTCCATCTGTTGCTGAAATTGCTGTCTAGGGGTCGGTGTTGTCTTACGGGTCAATACGAGTGAAACTACTTCTATAATGGCTAGCAAAACTCCACCGACGATTGCATTTCTCGAAGCAGATCTCCAGCCACCTCTCATGGCTAAAACACCACCGGTGAAAAACCCACTACCTATGGCATTCCAGTGGTCTTCCTTTTTCCGTATATATTGAAATGTACAATCAAAGCAACTAAATGTTCCTCCCCACACGGCAAAGTTACCTCCCAAAATCGGGGCCCTCATACGGCCGCTGTACAAAGCGCCACTTAACACATCCCCCTGGGGGCTATTTCTTGCACCCTTTAAAAAATGCCATATGTACCCTCCTATGCAACCCATGCCAAATGCGCCACCCATATCTTCTATGATTCTGTCAGGGCATGGTTCTCTCGCTAAGTCTCTTTCTTGTAACATTTTTTATAACATATCACCCAACAAGGGGGGGAAAAAAATATATATATATATATGCCCCTGTTTTACTGTGCTGGGGATGTTGCTGCTATAATTTGTGCGATTGTACGACAGTGATCGAATGCTTACTCCTCAAAAGGCCGGGGAAAATATATGTATAAATGAAAGAAAGGACTTACGTTATGTGTGCAAAAGGTCTGTATTTTATTTACATTCCTACAGGCAGTCGAAGCAATGTGTTTAATTTTATATGTTGTAAGATCATCCAACACTTGTGTACTTTTCTTCTCTTTCGCACCAATTTTGCCTCTTCAAAAGTATGTTCCTTGTATGTGGGGAGTTATACACTAAAAGCCTAACCGAAAATGTTTTAAAAGTTGGTACAGCCAAGGACACTCTTGCAACGAAATTTACAAAGGTTGAAAAAAAAAAAAAAAAAAAAAAAAACGGGACGAATTGGTTTGTAGGAACTTTAGCCATAAAATCAAGTCGCCCTTTTTTTTCTTTTTTTTTTTTTTTCAAAATCGCTCACTACAGTATGGGTAACTTTGGTGTAGTTTCACAAAAGTGTCATTCCGTGTGCCTTTTTAGGGTTAAGCTGCACCTACGCGTAACCTTAACTACTCTGTATATATGGCGCATGGTACTTAACACTCAGCCGGGTTCACATTCTCCTCTGAGTAGGCAACCCTGGGCGTTGGTATGAGCATACATATATAGCAATATATATATATATATATATATATATATATATATATATATATATATATCTACCCATATGTGCGCTCAGCGCCGTGTGCATACGCTGCAGGGAGCCCCTTCCCCGAAGCAGAATCTGTTCTATACCACTAAATCAACTGCTGTTATTGGGCACGCTATTCGAACAGTGTGCTACCACAAATGACAAGTGCAACGCTGCACAAAATAGCGCAAATCGCACAAATGGCACAGTGTCGTACACCTGACTCTGTTGTCACCGTGTTCTTTACACAAATAATTGTAGCATCTTGTGGAGCATTTAAAACGCCCAGATTGGCTACGTAACTTTATCGCCTTCTCAGTGGGGCGCACTTTAAGTATTCCCACGTAGATATGCATTCATTTCGCTTAATTGTAAACGCGCAAATGTATTGAACCTCCTCTCACGCATCAGTTAAAAACAAAATTTTTAATTCGCTTAAAAAGGGTTTTAATGTTAAGTACAGTATGCAAAATCGGCATTAAAAAAAAAAAAAAACAAAGGAAAATTTTTTTCTTCTTTTTTTTCTTTATCCTGTTTACATAAAGGGAATTTGTTTATTTTTATTACCCCATCATAATTTTGTTATAAAGTCAGGATCTATATCACGACCGTATGCGTTTTGTACCACTCCGGGGTTAAGCGGCGCGCACAAGCACATGCGCTCACGTAACTAAACCCTTTTTTTGTAGGCGCCACACTTTTCTGCTCCATACAAGCTTGGCGAAAACAAATGTTACTGCCCATGTGCAAAGGTGTTGTGCTTTCATCACCGTATGTATATACGCATTTTTTTAACACTTTTTTTCTGGGTGCACTCGTAAACAGTGCCCTACAAATGGCAACATAACCACATACGTTCGCTGACAGATGCAGTTCATCCATGTATCTGACCTTCACATAAGTGTAGGCCTTTGCGACACGCAAATTATGCCTCTACTGTAGGCCCCCATTTGAGGAGAAAAGGAAGTAGTACATTTTCACACCATCATACATGGTGGTCAGTTTGAAGGAAACGCAATTTTCACGTAACCGCTTTTAATAGGCACTTATCCCCGTCGTGTGTTTTTTTTTTTTTTTTTTTTTCTTCTTTTGGTGCAGGTTGAGTGTACATGGTTCATATGAGCATTCTGTGAAGCGAGACTGCTATATGCAAGAAAAACAAGTGCGTGGGGGGAATGTGCCGCAACGCACAAGTACATAATATATTTATATATGCCCCATACATAAATACATGTACATTACTGGTATGCGTAAATCCCCTGGTCATTTTATTTTTGTTTAAATCGCGAAAATGTGAAAAATTTACGAAAGCATGATGTCATAGATTAACATTTATCATTCCGCGCAAATTCAACACCTCGGCAACATTTTTTCCTTACGTGCAAATCAAGTGAGAACACTAACCACACAGTTAACACGCCACAGTTTTAATGTTAAACAGTTTTTTCTCTCATCTGTTTTTGAAACAAAAAAAGAACAGAAAATATATAAAAAAACCAAATAAAGATAACACGCAATTGTAGAGCCTTTGCCGCATCACCGTTAATGAATGAAACTTACTGGTAATCTTAACACGTGCCTCCCTCAAGTGAGCATCTGAACACACCTCTGTTCTGTGCATAAAGTTCACGTTACGCGAATAAGCATTCGTTTGTACACGTAGTAAGGCATACCACACTGTGTTATATCCACACCTTTCACTTTAAATCACCACTTTTGAAAAAATGAATTTCCTAAGAAGAAACGCCGCAAATTTGTGTAAAGGCAAAGTCTTGGGTAAGAATATGAACTGCTCTGTGCACGAGGTAACCAACCTCGATAAAAGAAAAATTTCTAACGTAATAAACCTTGGGAAATATGGACAAAGGTACCAAGCAGCCCATTCCAAGTCTGTTATTGGAGCAAAAAGATTTGCTTCAAGTGAAGCACAGAAACTGTCCGAAGTTGTAAAAGCAGAGGTGCAACATGAGAAGTCGAATTATGAGGCACCAGATAATATTAAGAAGTTTTTACAAACGTCGGGATGGAAATTCGAGGAACAAGAGGGAGATGTTAACATGGTGTTAACGAAAAATGTGGATGGAATGAAAATTATTATCGATTTTCAACTTGTGTCCCCATTTCAAGCAGAAGGAGAAAATGAAGCACAGGCAGAAATGACTGACTTTTCTGTCACCGTTGAAAAGCCAAACAAACAAGGAGGCATTACCTTTTATTGTACCACCTTGCAGAATGATGAGAAATTCAGATATATGATTGGAAATGTTAAGTATTATAAAAATGAAGAAGGAAAGAATTCCGTGTCCTCTTATAATGGACCTGAATTTGAAGACCTCGATGACTCCTTACAAACTTCGCTCGATGAATGGTTGGCGAACTTAGGAGTAGACTCCGAGTTGTGTGATTTTATCGATTCCTGTAGCATTGACAAAGAGCAAAGAGAATACATGTCATGGTTACAGAACATTTCGAATTTTATCGAATCTTAATTTCTTTTCCCCATCCTCCACTTTTTAACATTAAATTGTGTGCACAACACGTATGCACTATTTTTATATATGTGTGCAGACTGACATCTCATATCATTTTCCCTACATGGTATGAAACGTGTATGTTGTGCATTATATAAATTGTTAAGTGGCACAATTTAAGAACCCACCAACCCACTCCCTTTAACAGTTTATTTTCTGGCGAAATGTAACTGTATTTTTTAAATTAACTATAACAGAGCTCATTTTTAAAGAATTATTAATTTAAATTATTATCTCAGCTTTTTTCTTTTTTTTTATCCTGTATTACATTGCCCAGCATGGAATCTTGTAATTGTACTTCTATCTCTGTGATTGGGAAAAATGTACATATAGTGAGTTCCATTTCTTGCAACATCATGCGGCTTAAAAAGGAAACGTGAAGCAAAAAGGACAAAAAAAAAAAAAAAAAAAAAGGTTCACTTTTGCATGAACAGGTCAGGTGTAAACATGGAAAAAATCTAGCCATTTTGTGTGTTTTTTATTTTTTTTTACAAAGTTTTTTTTTTTTTTTTCATGTGGAATGTAAGAATTGGCTGTTTATTTAACCAACTGGCCAGTTCCCTTACGTTGCAGCCGTGTGTACATTTTTTTTTTTTTTCACACCGTTTTTGTATTACCGAGTATGCCCGGCAGTAACATTTACAACAGGTGTAAAATGTGCAATTTATCCTCTGCGCAAAATATATGGTTTTTCTCTTGCACGCAAAACAGGCGTTTTTTCTCTTCCACGGAAAATAATCAATTTTTCTCTTCCACACAAAGCACATAGCTTGTCCAATCCACGCTCCAAACATGGAAAACGTAAACAAAAGGGACATCCTTGTAAATTATTTAAGACTGTGCAACAAGAACGATATGGCCGAGGCAGTGGTCAAATACTGCGATGAGGATCGTGGGATAGTTTTCAACAGGCACCCCGCCAGAAATGAGAACAAATTTGGAGCGATCTACGATTACGCGGCTTCTACACAGTCCAAAGTATCAAGCGCGACGAGCTCTTTGCACGATTTAAAAGGGTCAATGGAAAAAGGAAGCAATGGAAGCAATCGAAGTTGTATCAGCATAGTGCAATCCAAATGCTTTTATAAGAGTAAAAGCTCTCTGGAAAGTCTGCAAACAGATAAGCACCCAAACAGTTACATATCATACGGTAGCAAACAGGAAGTGCAGGACGGAGTAGTACAGACGAATGACCCCATTTCCGATGTGCTGGATGATATGTGTGAAATTGTAGCACCTGAAGGCAAGGGCAAATTTTTAAAATTTATAGGGGAGAATTATGTGTACGTCTTGCTGGAAAATGTACGTAAATGAATGCCTTGTTAAGCATCCACAATGCAGAGGAAGCATGTGCATGTTCGCACTAAAATCTGCTACCTCTGCAAAAATGCGTATGCAAAAATGCGACTTAAAAAAAACATAATCCCCTCTGCCTGGAAAAGCAACATAACAATTAACATGCGAATCGTTGCACATTCTAGGAGAATGAGTCCAACTAAAATATAACTAAACCATTTTTTCGTTCGCCATTCTATGTATCCCCTGGGGGCGTTCGCTGCACAGTGTGCGTAGTAAGAAATATGTATTTTTTTCTGTTTCATTTCAGGGCACATACAATTGCTACCCCATGGACCTCCTAAAGCTAAATCGATCCTACCTGAAGACAAACGCCATGTACAACCTTCGAATGAACTACAAAGATAGGGCTTTAAATCACACTAGGAATGTCTTAAAAGGTGAAACAAATTATGCCTCTGCGTTTTTATTTCCCTTCCAAAATATTGGAGCAGACACCCTTTTTTTAATTCCCCCCTCCCACTAGTATATCCCACTTTGTATACCTTTTAACATTTAACCCAAATTATGTCCCCCCTTTTTTGTCGCAGATAAAATTGCTTCATTGCAACGCAAGGAGACCCCCTTAAATGAAAATAAAGGAACTTCCGACGAGTTCGTCGCATTTCCTGCTCACATGGACCATTTGAGAGACTACATAATGAAAAACGATTTAGAGCAGGAAAATGCTTCGTTCAAGAATGAAGAAGCGGGTGCAGGTGAACCTGACAGGAGTCACATACCAGGGCACCACAATTTGGTAATGTGCCGCGAAATGGGGGTTCCCCCAAATGGACACACACATTCCGCTTTTGGCGGAATAAATGGCATGGGCGAAATTACCACATTTTGCGGCGTCTCCAATTTTGGCCAATTCTTCCCATTTGTGCCCAATTTCATCTTACACTTTTTCGTTCCTTCCTTTTTGCAGGCTATGAAAACTGTTAAGGTTAAATCGTTAAATAGTAGGTACACGTTGGAAGGGTCCCAGGGGTATGCCCCCACTGATCTAAGAATTGCAAGTGAGGAAAGCTGCACCGCTTGCTGCTAAATCAAGTGAAGTTAATAAACCTTCTGTTTTGCTTTATAAGAATTTGTGTCTGCATATCATTGTGTTAAGTGCATTGTTGAGCACGCAGTGGTCATGCTTCGCACCTTGGCCACTTTCTCCGTTGCTTCCACCCCTACCCTGAATTGTTTTGTGGTATCGTTTTTTTCTTTTTTTTATCCATTTTTGTGGGTGCTATGTGGGTGCGCAATTGTGCCCCCACGGTGCTTTAAACAACTGTTAAAATGGACTACAGACAATTTGATTTAGGGCAATTGTTTCTAATTCGCGTCGCCAAGGTACTCCCTCCTCGCCTTCAATGCACACCACACGTTTGCCGAACTGTTATGTACATGCTGAAGGGTTAACCATTTGATGTGTAAGCATGTGCTAACTTTATCAAGCATTGTGTGCCCCCCTATTGCGGCTTATTCAAGTTGCTACTCGTGGGCTGTTTATAGCCACACCTGGGGGGTCGAAGACCACTTATAGGGACGCCACCACATCACCGCTTCCCTTTCTTTTATCAATAAGACTCACATGATAACAAAAAAAAAAATATATGTGGACAATTCGAGGTTGTTTTGGTATCATCTTGAGAAGTTATTCACTATGTTCCAGCTGCATCTCTTCCAAAAGAACAGGACACATCCTCGTTATCTGTGCACGTGTAACGCACACCAAAATTTATTTTGCCGTGCAGGTGGTTTCGCTCTACCTTGCCTGTGAACAGCGAAGAAGTACCAACTGTTGAATCCACAAAGTATTTACGCCGTTGTACCTATACGGAGTAGAAAAGCCCTACTGAGTTGGGCTTTATCCATTAGCGTTGAAGCATGTAAGGGCCACATGTGAGTATTCCCTTGTGCACCAAAAAAAAAAAAAAAAAAAAAAACGGGGGGGAGAAAAAAGTAGAGACGAACACGAGGGGAATTTTTCTCTTTCCAAAATATCCTCCGCACAGAATCAACGAAGCTTATAATACATCTGTGAAAAATAGGGGCGATGGAAAAATAAGCAACACATAGATAACTGAGCCAATTTTTTCTGCCTTTTGCAAAGTGATGAATATGACCCTAGTCAGGGGGAGCATAGCATCTGTGAGAATAACCTAACCCTTGCATCTATGGAAAACGCGGTATTGAACAGTGAAGGGTTTAACCTGTTTTTCCCATGTGTCGTTTCCGTACTGGGAAAATTGCCCTGAGGTTCCCCCCCCCCCCCCCTAGCTGAAACATCCCTCTTCCAATTTTTGACATGACTAAGTATAGTTCCGTGGCGTGGTAATACTCTCCACCTGTTGTGTGTGCGTTATATTTGAAGTTAGGCGCAGGGAGTGTGAAAATCAGAAGGCACATTTCACATTTTGTACCGTCGATCTGCAAGTCAACATGTGGCTACACAGAGTTGTCTCTTTAGGGCACTATGCCCATGTACGGAATAGGCTGGAAAGGGGAACCATGAACAGGGTATTACAGAGTAGGAGGTCTTTCAACACATTCAATAAACTGAGTAATGCAGAAGAATCATTCATAATTAAGAAGGCCAATAAGTATATGAATTATGTGAAGGAAGGCCAAGAATTTAAAGTAGGAATTTGGCTGAACACGTGCAGCCTGTTAATACTAGGTATGATAAGTATAGGAGGTTATACCCGCTTGACCGAAAGTGGGTTGTCCATAACGCACTGGAAATTTCAGGGCGTAAAGTACCCCAAGAATGAAGAACAATGGCAGCAAGAATTTGAAAAGTATAAATTAACACCGGAATATAAACAAGTACATTATAACTTGTCTATGAAGGATTATAAAAAAATTTATTTTAATGAATGGCTACACAGAACGTTTGGTCGTTTCATAGGATTATTTTTTGTCGGAGGTGCTGGTTTTTTTTTATATAAAAATTATTTAAAAAAAAGTATGATCAAAAAGTTGAGTGTCATTTTGGGCTTAGGAACATTTCAAGGATTTGTAGGTTGGTGGATGGTGAAAAGTGGGTTTGAAACTCCGCAGACGGAAAATAAAACACCCAGGGTTTCTCCATACAGGTTAGTCTTCCACCTCTTCTGCGCAACCATAACATACAGCTATCTTTTTCTCAACTCACTCACTTTGATCGAGGTGGCCAAGATGAGGAAGCAGTTTGCCAAAAGTCAAATAGCCGACTGGCCAGAATTTGTACGAACTCAGTTAATACATGAAACGTATGAACGGAGAAACATTACCAGGGGGACCAAGTTAGGTCTACTTTGTTTTTCCCTTCTCGTTTTTTCTAATATTATGTATGGAGGCTTTGTGGCTGGGAATGACGCAGGATATGCCTACAACACGTGGCCCAAAATGTTAGACAACTTTATTCCGAACGATGTAAAAAATTTCTATTTTGGCAAGAAGAGGAAGTATGAGCAGTTATTTGAAAACACAGCCCTGGTGCAGTTTAATCATCGGATGCTTAGCTACTTGATTGTCTTGAATAGCTTCGTCTTATCCTATTGTGCGCAGAACATGGCACTTAGCAAAAAAACCAAACGACTGTTCTTCGTGTTGCCCTTCATCACAACCGCGCAAATGCTCACCGGCATAGGCACCCTTGTGCACAACGTGCCTGTCCACCTGGCTCTCGTGCATCAGTTCGGGGGCTTCTGCATTCTCTCCACCCTGCTTCACTTGGCGAAGCGGGTGTTCCGCGTGTAGCGGTATATGCTTGTGCATAGCAGCAGATTTTTGTGTGTGCTTTTTTTTTTTTTTTTTCTGACCCATGTTGACTCCCCCCTGCTCTACGGCAGCTTTAAGGCGATTCGCCAAAATGGGGCGTGTACCATTGAGAGTGCAAAGGTTTCACCACTTGCGCCGCACCATTGTACATTCGGCCGTTTTTCCCTCTTCCCTTCTAGTCGTAGGACCGTGGAGGCACTCCTCAATTGATCTTTTTCTTTTTAAAAAAGGATTCGATGGTCAGCTGATTCCTGGGCTGTTGCAGAGGGTGCTTCTTCCCCTTGGAGAAGGTATCATCCTGCTGCATTTTCTTCTTTTTGTCGTCCTCCTTCATTTTACTTAATTTGTCCTGTATATCTACGGGGGTGAGTTTTCCACTCAAAGAGGAACTCATAAAACCCTTCACAATTAGCCAAACAAAAGTCCTCAAATTGGATCCACAAAATCTGTAGTACTTTTTATTAAACTGTATAACGTATGAGTCTACCAGCTTTTTATATTCAGCATACACATCGGTCTGTTTCAATTTCGCACTTTTAACTTTGGACGTGCTATTCGCATGGAGGTTAATATCAATTTTGTGTTTCTTCAAAATATCCTCTTCTATAGTGTACGCATAATCAGAGAAAACGATGTTATTGTCAATTATATAATTGAATAACTTAACACATTTAAGATTGTAAAAATTTTGAACCTTTTTCAAATTCGGCTTGTAATAATATTTACCCATTTCGTAACACTCATCACAAATATTTTTTAGTCTCTCCTTGATATTACTCACATTTTTGTTAAAAATGAAAAAGATATTTTTGCTTATTTCGTTTTTTTCCCTCTTCCCTATGTCTTTTAAAATATTGTCTAGGTAATCCCCCAATGTGGTGTACGTGTTGCTGGAGCAATTTTGATATATGACACTTATGAAGACAAAAATTGCATCAATGGGGTAGCAGAAAAAGCTACATTCATTTTGCACAGCGTAGTTATTTATAAAAAGGGACACACAACTTTTGTTTATTTTTTCATTTTCATGTTTTAGGGATTCAATTTTAGGGTTATAGTAATTCCGTTCCAGCAGGTACAACAGGTTGCTCTTTTCACTGTAGTGGTATAACACACATTTGTGTGGCTCGCTTATGCTAGGTAGTTTGATGAATTTGTAATTTGTCACCTTGGCTTTTTGTCCCCCCTCCTGCTTATTCTCTGCGGAGGAGAATAGGTGGAACAGAAACGCATTCTTCCTATCCTCCATCGTGTGTAAAGGATGTGGGGCAGAAGCGCTTAGCAGAGGCGGTCCAATTGACAGGCAACCTTGATAAGGGTAACTTTAGAGGGACAAAAAATTGGCCACATATTTTTTCCCTCATTATTTGCCTCCGAAACGCCTACAAACGGAGATCCGGTCCTGCCATATTACGCTTGCCTCATATAAGGACGTGCACAACTCCGCGCGAATTACTTTTGCCTCAGCCGCGGGGACTTCATGTCACCATGCGCATGCGCGTGCATACGGATGTACCATCATTCGGAGGTGCAGAAAATTGGGGGAATTTTTCCTTCCCCAATGGGAGTCTCGCGGGACGTGCACGAGGTGAAAATAGGCCGCAAAAAAAAAAAGCAAGTGCCCAATCAGGCCTCCCCCCCAAGGCCATGTCTCCCTATCCTTCCCCCCCAAAAAAAAAGTAACATTAGAGGGTGTATGAACGAAAACGTAAGAAGGCTAACTTGAGCACCTATAACCGTGCGAAGACAAAAGGAAAGTGAAATGATTTCCTCATCCCGCTTAAATACGTGAGGCCAATGAAACGGAAATGATCCACAACGTTCACTTCACCGATGTAGGACCCTTTCAAGTAACAGAACTTCTCACACACATGTGTGTGTGCCTATGTCCCGGGTTTATTTCTATGCCCACCTTTATGGGCACCCCTGCCGATGGAGGCAGCAAAAAGGGTGAGAGCCAACCGAACCAGAGGCAACACTTGGCAAGTAAAAAAAAGTGTACAAAATGCTCTTAACGAAATATGCACAAAAGAAAGGGGAAGAAAAAAAGTGCCCTCTTTCAATAAAGGTGTAAAATGTTTGTGGCCTCATTCTTGTCTGTTTTCGTGTGTTCCTTTGTGTAGCCTAATTCACTCTGCCAATTTTGTCACTTCTAACGTACAGTGCGTCGCGAAGGAAGGCAGGCCTTGCCCCCATACATACGCCATGTACATATATATAGAAAAAATGGTTATATGTGTACGCTTGTTTGCGCTAGAGGGACCTCCCCGGTTTAACCCCTTTTGAGCAACCCCACACAGAAATTTATTTTTGCATTAGCGTGCACAGCATTACCAGCTGATTCCCCGTAGGCGTTTTAAATTAGCTAACCTTGAAATTTTTTTTTCCTTTTTATGTGTCATGCAAGGTAGACATGTTTGTTCTAAACGTAGGGAGGAAAATGGAACAGCCAAATATCATGCTTGCACATTTATGTAAGCGGAGGAGCGAAAGGACAGGCATGAACAATCATGGGGATTGCACTGCCGGCCCTGCGCGAATTTGACCAACGGCAACGAAATAGGACCAATGCAAAAAAAAAAAAAAAAAAAAAAAAAAAAATGTCTACAAGTTGGTACTTACAAAAAGAAAGTACACAAATTTCTACCTAAAAAAAAAAGAATAATTTATATTCTCATTTGTACATATTATATTGAGCCAATTTTAATGGGAGAAAAATTATATAGTCTATAAGAAGTTCCTCGAAAAGGCAACAAATCCGGACTTTCAATTGCCTAAAAGGGTTTTACACACCCCATTGTTGTACGCTATTTTTTACTTTTTTTTTGCACGCCTTTAAAATAATTTTAAAAGAATTAAAAAGAAACCTTGCGAGCTTGACAAAAATGCCACAATAACACTTTTAATTGAAAAAGCGAAAAGGACACAACTGCAGCAGTACAGTGTTTTTAACTTGTCGGTGTACCGCCCGTGTTGTGCCAATCAGGGGGAAAAAAGCACGCTCCTTTGGAAGAAGCGAACGTTTTTGTCTAACTGTGATTGTCGAGCTGCAAAGTTGATCTCAAGCGAAGCACGCACTCTAAATATATGCTTGTGTATGTACGTGTGTCTATACGTATAAATAGCCATATAGCCGCGCAGAACAACTGGCGCTTCCTGAGGCTGCGTGCTCTCAACGCGAAAAAGATAAAAACGGAACGCTGATATTGCAAATGGGGAACATATCCAGTGGGCAAAGCAAGAAGCCATTGACACTGCTTGAGCTAAGCACAAAGATTGGGGAGTACCGAACGATAAATGAGGTGAATAAGGGGAGTAGACGGCTCGAGCGCAGCCGAAAACATGCATATATATAGACGCGTATCTATGCACAATGGCTGAGTGATACATTTCCCCGAAGAGAATACACACACGTATGAGTACCTCCCCATGCACATATTCTCAACATGCTCACCATTTTCAGGGAGACCCTGAGATGGTCGAAGATCCAGATTTCCCACAGAAAATGATGAAAGAAGCATTAAGCAACAACACAACGGGTAAGCAAATTCGGCAGGAGAATAAAGCTGCCCTAAACCTACTGGCGCAATTTTATTATCATTTTTGTTTTTTTTTTCCATGATACGGACACCATTCTGTGCATGTTATATGCCACTAAGTTTTGTTGCCCCCAAATGAGTAATTCATTTTCAATCTCCTTACCAGTTGATGGAAGCACCGTCCAAGGCACCTTCGTTTATTACCCAAACAAAATGAAGCCCAAGATGTGGATAGGGAACTACAATATTTTGAATCCAGAAGATATCCTTTGCAAAAATGTGGCTGAGAAAATTGGGATGACTGAAGCTGAGTGGAAAAACTACGTCCAGGCGAGAAGGAACGAACAGGTAGGAACGACGGCGCGTGGAAGCAGTGGTTGACAAGGCGCCTTCACACCTTTTACTACGTGCATGACATATCCACGCCTTCCCATATGTGTGATACGCAAAGAGAGATAGGGAAAGAGAGAGAGAGAAAAAAAAAACTTCCTTTTCACCACCACCACCCCACGCAGGAGCAACCTAGCAATGTCCAAATCATCCCCAACTTTGATTCTTCGCCAGGAAAACACTCTATGTCTTTAAAAGAAATGATGAAGGGAGGCACTGTCGCACCTTTTTATAGCGAGGATGGAGAGCTTCCATCATACGGTGGAGCCCCATTTCTTGCCACTGACCCATTTCGTGCTCATGAAAAAAAATATAAAAAACAAAATTATCAGGACATTGACCAACAATCCCAAAGTAACAGTTGCACTATTAAAGATACCGGAGCTGACGACGATATATATGACGACATGAATAGCACAAAGGAAGACGAAGCGGGGCTTTTCTACAGAGTGGACAACGTAGCGACGGTAGAACAAACACATGTCCTGAGCAAACAGAAAAGGGGTGACTACACTGGGGAAGAAAAACACGAACAGGAAAGACAAAAATATATACAAAAATTAAACAACGAAATTACTAACATAAATGCACACCAAGAAAGAATAATTAATCAGAAGCGAAAAGATCTGCTCGCTTACTCAAAGTCCAACTCAAGTCAACTGCCCCCGCCACAGAATAATAGCGGATCCTTTGGAACGAAAAATATACCACGTTCAACAAAACAGGATATGAAAAATATAATCACTGAACTTATAAATGATAACAATAAAACGGTTACTTCGAAAATGTATTCCTTAAGAACGAACAAAAAGGAAGGCTATGCCGATTTGTCGTCCATGAGTACGAAGGGAAGTCTGGACATGAAGACATTCTCTATTGATAAGGACAACTCATTGAGTAAGAGGGTACACGTAAAGAGGACCTTGGTGAAGTGAACATCCCCTCAAAACGAAGTAAGGGATAAATTGGCGCTTAAGCCACCCTCCAAGGATTTGAAGACATCGCTCCATATGAACAAATGTGCCTTTTTTTTTTTTTGTGCACCCCACATGGCACCCTAAAAATGTATGTTTTGTTTTTTCCGTGCGGACTGGGGAACTATACGTACACGTTTCCCGCCCCAATTTTGTTCATTCCCATCATTTTTCTCGCTCGCGTTATTTTGTTCGCCCCTGTCCGGTCCATCGCACACCCGCACAGGTGTACGTACACGACACGGAGCTTCTTCCATCCACATGAGCAGCCATGCCAAGGAGGATATAGCGCACGCATCTTTCCCCTCCCACACAAGCGCGTGTACGTCGTCTGATTGTACCTTTTCCCCCCCAAGGCATGCGTGTGTAATACTTCGCCTGGCCTTCTAAGCCTTCCCCCAAAATGTTTGTCCTTGTTTGTTCCAAACGGGTTACACACACGCATTGCTGTTTATTTCGTTTTAATCCTTCCACTGACTGCATTCGTTTATTTAGCCTTTTTGCAAAATTTACGAATATTTTTAATTAATTCTCCCAGTTGGGGGGTTGTCTATGTGGCTGAATTTGTTGCGCCACGTCTTTTTTTTTTTTTTTTTCGTTTGGACGTACAAATGGAGTGATGCTCCCATGCGTAACAAACAAGGTTGGTGAAGTGTGCACGGGAAAAGTAGCCGCAAATTAGGGGGGAAAAAAAAAAACGAAAAATGGGATAAAAACAGAGGTAATATGTGGATGAAATAGACGCCGAGATGGTAACACTAATTGATGCGCTCACCAACGTCTGGGTGGTATCCCCCCCATGGCGTTAGCCCCAGTGGGCCGACCCAAAGGGGACGCTCTTGTAGTTGGGGGGGTAGTAATAGTACGTGTTGCAGGGTGGAAGAATCGATTCTGCATTCATGAGAAACTCATCGATCTTGGCGGCGACGTCTCGACCGTCGGCTATAGCCTGAACGACGGTACTGGGGCCGACTCTGCAGTCCCCACAAGCAAATATTTTCTTGTAGTTCGTCTGGTAAGTTCTAACTTTGGTCTTAATACAGTTATAATTATCAAGCTCGATCTTAATGGAGTCATTCTGCCATACGGAGTCATCCGTCTTGGAAAATCCCAGGGCCAAGATGACAACGTCTGCTTTGTAAATCCTTTCGGTGAAAGGGACGTCGACATACTCCTTTGACTCCTTGGTCGTTTGGTAATTTTGAATGATGTCGTCCGTGGTTCCCGGTGAGGAAGAATGCGAGCTGGTCGCTACGCTGGAGGTTCGGCTGGATGTGGCGGTGGCGGATGCACTAGCAGTCGCTGCCCCGGATGCTTGCCCAATTGCGCTCTTGGACGACATTTTCTGTCCCTTCGCTTTGCCAAACTTCGTCTGATGCTTCTTTGAGTCAAGATTGGACAGCACCCCATTGCTTCTGGGCATACTGGAGGTGCTGTTGGATGTGGGCACGGTGACAGATGTTGATTTCGTAGAGGATGTCCGCAGCACTGCATGCTTATTATTCACCTCGCCCTTAGGTACTTTTTTTAATTTGACTTTAATGGCCCTAATACCAGACACTCTCTTAGGGTCCTTGCTGGAAGGAATAAACTCTAAACTCCTAACACAGAATTCGCGTGGGTCCCTCCCTTGGATAATGATCGCTTCATCATGTGCATAATCAACCTTGAATATATTTTTCACTCCTGGCCACGAATATTCTGTACTTGTCATGGGTGGAATATCTTGCCTCGTGAATTGCAAAACGCTTGCTGCTCCCATTCGAATGGCCAAACTTATACAATCCACAGCAGTCTTCCCTCCTCCCAAAATAATTACGTGTCTTTCTGATACGTCTATGTAGTTCTCATCTGTGAGGTCAGATTTCATGAGCGACTTTTGGCATGTGGTCAGAAAATCCATAGCATAGTAAATATTGTTTAAGTTCGATCCTGGAATATTCAATTTCCTTGGAACTTTATACCCAGTAGATAATAAAACAGCATCGAAATTTTTGGCTAGCTCGGATAAGGTTATGTCAACCCCTACGTTGATATTGTTTTTCATAATGATTCCTTCCTTCCTCATTATGTTTAACCTTCTCTCTACTATTTTTTTATCCAGTCGTACATTTGGTATTCCGTTCATTAGTAATCCTCCAAAATATTCATCCTTTTCAAAGACGGTTACTTCATGTCCTGCTTTATTCAACTGTTGAGCTGCTGTTAGTCCCGCTGGTCCTGAACCAACGATGGCGACTTTTTTTCCCGTCCTGGTATGCGGAATAATTGGCTGAATCCATTTTTTTAAAAATCCACATTCGATGATGGATAACTCAATAAATTTTATTGACACTGGTTTTTCATTAATGCTTAAAACGCAAGCATCTTCACAAGGCGCTGGACAAACGCGCCCAGTAATTTCTGGAAAATTATTTGTATCTAATAATCTTTCCAACGCCTTTTTCCACTCATTTTCGTATATTAAATTATTCCAATCAAATATTCTGTTTCCTAAAGGGCATCCTCCTCCGCTAGAATTTGGATAATGACAAGTTGGGGTTCCGCAATCTACACATCTAGACGCTTGTGTCTTTAGCAACTGGTTATGGAGTTTACTTTTTGCATTGATGGGGACGATGATTTCAGAGTAATCCAACACCCTACTGCTAATATCTTTTAGCGGGTGGGATAACCGTTCGTACTCCTTAAAGCCCGTGACTTTATTCGGGTTTACCGCGAGAAAGGGTTTGGCTTGGCTCATGTTTGGGATAACCGACTCTGTGGCTTCCCCCTCGCAACTTCCTTGTGTGTTCGTGATGCTCACTTTGGTCACCGGGTGGCGTGTATCCTTCGATGGAGAGGAAGTGGCGGTGGCGCATGCGGTGGTGGTGGGGTCGGCAGTGGGTCCAGAAGAAAGCCCGGGGATAGATCCATTCAGTGGGGCGGTTTCCGTGGCAGTTAGGGAAGTGGTCACCGGCGTGGTGGTGGAGCACGATTTGCCCTCGGATGGGTCCACCGAAGAGACGGACGCTCCAGCAATGCTGCGTGCCGAAGCGGTAGAAGTTCCCCTAACACCCCCACCATCAGAAGATCTCACAGCATGTTGGTTATCCTTGACACTTCCCTCGCCTTTCTCATTTGCGTAGAGGAAACTTTTCAAGGAGTACACACTAGGGCTCATCTGTTTCTGACTCATGTTCATGTAATCCTCCCCCTCGTCCCTATCAATCAGGCTGTCAATAAAGGAGTTGGAATTTAAGGACTTGAGATGAAGATCGAGAAGGTACTTCTCATTGACAATATATTTTTTTATCATTTCCTTTGACTTTTCATCTAGCTTTTTTGGGAAAATATTTTTAAATTCAGCAAAGGCGTTACACTTAAATGAGGTTTCTGTGAATCTCCTCCACTTTCGATTATTTTTTCTACAAATCTGTAAGTTATGAATAAATCCTTCAAAGTCAAAAGATTTTTTCTTCTTGACATGCCCTTGCAATTGTTCACTGCCTTGAGTAGAATTCAATTCAGGTGTGTAATTTTTCACTGTTAATAATTTCCTATTATGATTGTCTTGCAAAATGTCATATATGATCAGTCCATCCACATTTCTCAAAGCTAGCGTTTTGGGCAATCCAGATATATCATCCGAGATGGTGGTAAAAAATTGCATGGCTTTTTTATACATGTTTTCTGGCTGGTCGACATTTTTCAAGAGGGAAGCCCAGTCGTCCAGAATTGCCGCGGCTTCTTCATTTCCTGTCTTCACAAATTCGATACACGCTTCTGTTAGCACTCGCTTAATATCTCTCGGAATAATTTTTGTAAACCTGTGCAGATTAGCATCAAAATCTTGCAGCAGAACTTTGGCCGTATAAGAATTAGTCCTTTCGTAATGCTCGTGTAGTAATTTTTCTAAAGTCATTTTTTCATCCATCGTTTTGCATACTTTCAAATCTACCATTTGATGATTTACGTTTTTTTTGTTAATGTCTAGGACGTATGCAATTCCTCCACTCATTCCTGCAGCGAAGTTACAACCAATTTCACCCAGCACAACTACTATGCCTTTCGTCATATACTCACACCCGTGACACCCGACTCCTTCCACAACTGCTATGGCCCCAGAATTACGAACTGCAAATCTTTCCCCAGCTCTTCCTGCGAAAAAAGCTCTTCCTTTTGTTGCACCATACAAAACGGAATTACCTGCAATCATATTTTTCTGACAGTCATTTATGAATAAAGACGTTTTGGGGAAATGCACAGATATAATTCCACCTGATAGACCCTTCCCTACAAAATCATTTGCATCTCCTTCCAGTTCAAAATTTACACCACTTGTCAGGAATACTCCAAAGGATAATCCTCCTGTTCCTCTAAATTTCACCTTTATAGTATCCATAGGTAATCCTGGTTCCCCATATTTCTGAATGATATGATAACTTAACATGGCTCCCACTGCTCGGTCCGTATTCTTTATAGGCATCTTTATATTCACAGGTGTGCAATTCAGGAGGGCTATCTTGGACCTTCTTATAAGTTCTCTATCAATGATATCAGATAATTTATGATTTTGCGTTTCGCAGCAGAATATTGCCATTGGTTTGGGTTCATTTTTCCTTGAATGCATTTTTTTCTCGTTCATTTTTTTTCTCCTCATGCTGGTGGTGTACACAATGGGCTTCTTTCCATTCCTTCTGTTTATGGCTAGGTTATATTTGCTGCTTTCACCTTTGGAATATTCCCGGTTCAAATCATTTTCCTTCAATAGCTGTTTTTGTCTGTTCTTCGTCTTTTCCTTTTTGCCTTGGCCGGCCTGCACGTTGCTTTGGTGGAGGGAGCCGTTCAGTTCGTTTGCGTCATCCATCTGTTCGGAGTCATTCGGGCTTACTTCTTCTTCTTCGTCCTCCTCTTCGTCATCCTCCTCTTCGTCATCCTCCTGTTCATCCTCGTCCTGGTCCTCATCATCATCGTTATCATCGTCATCTTCATCCTCTTCCTCATCATCCTCCTCGTCTTCCCTCTCATCTTCGGCGTCATCGGCCGCTGCCTCCTCGTCGTATTCCCCCACAGAGGAGCACGTCTCCCCTGCGTGGTTCATCCCATCCGTGTGTTCGCCACCATCGTCTCCTGTCTTCACCACATCATATTTCTGCACCGTGTTGTAATTCTCGTTTATGAGTACCTGCTTCCTTCTCATTCTGTCTAGTGCACTATTCACTCCAGGGGAGAGCGACCCTGCTGTCTTGTACTTGGAGCGTGAGTAGAGATAACTTCCACCGACTTTCCGCTTTTTCTCATGTGCATTTTTGTTGTATCTTTTCTTCACGACATCTTTCATTTCCTCTTCTGCATAGTATTTCCACCCTGGGAAGAGCAACTTGGAGAAGTCCAGTAACTTTCTCTTCTCATCATATTTCAAGTGGTCCTTCTTTTTGAGCAAATCGGACCTTCCGATAATTTGGGAGAACTTCCTGAACCCCATGCTGGCCAAGTACTCCCTGACCTCTTCTGCTAGCATAAAGAAAAAGTTTATTATATGTTCTGGTTTGCCTGCGAATTTTTTTCTCAACTCTGGGTCTTGTGTACATATACCAACAGGGCAGATATTGAGGTGGCATTTCCTCATCATGATGCAGCCTAAAGCAATTAACGGTTGGGTGGAGAAGCTAAACGATTCTGCACCGAGTAGCGCACCTAAGATGACATCTCTCCCTGTTTTTAATTGCCCATCAATTTGTAATATAACTCTTTTTCTCAACTTGGACTTGCACAAAGTTTGGTGCGCCTCTGCTAGTCCGATTTCCCATGGGAGACCAGCATGTTTGATGGACGTCCACTTCGATGCTCCCGTGCCACCAGACATTCCACTAATTAAAATTTGTTCGCAATTTCCTTTGACCACTCCTGAGGTGATAACACCTATTCCTAGCTTCGAAACTAATTTCACAGAAATCTTAGCTTCTTTATTTATATTCTTTAAGTCATAGACTAGTTGACCGACATCTTCAATGGAGTACATGTCATGGTGTGGTGGTGGTGAAATTAGACCAACACCTGGGGTGCTTCTACGAACGGAGGCAATTTTCGCACTGACTTTGTATCCTGGCAATTCTCCCCCTTCTCCAGGTTTGGATCCCTGGGCTACTTTTATCTGCAGCTCCTGCGCGTTCACCAAGCTGTACGCCGTAACACCGAACCTAGCGGATGCGATTTGTTTAACGGCTGAGTTGGTGTTGGGTTCGCTAGACCCATTAGCATCGGCAGGCTCCTTCTTAATGCGGTCTTCTGCCTCTCCTCCTTCACCCGTATTAGACTTCAACCCCATGTTATTCATGGCCGTGGCGACCGTGGTGTGTGCTTCCTCCGAGAGAGACCCAAAAGACATAGCGCCGGTGCAAAATCTGAGTAAAATTTTGTTCACAGATTCTACTAACTGGATATTTATGGGTTCATTTTTTTTCTTCTTCTTATTATAAGAAGGGCATTTTTTATAATTTATTTCTAACTGTCCCCTAATCTCACAATGGTTTATGAGTTCATTCTGCAGCTCTGAGTATTTTTTATAAGTAGCTGTACTCCCCGTGCGAGTTGCCTTTTGCAATAAGCTAATCGTTTCTGGATGGTTCATATGTATTTGTGTGTTGCCAATACTCCTGAAGTGGTACTCCCCATGGTCATCGAGTTCCTCCATTTGGTCTTTAATGTGCAGGGTTACTATCCTCTTCGGGTAAGCGTTGTAAAATATTCTCAGAATTTCCTTCTCTACAAATTCAAATGTTACTCCCCCGATAATCGAGTCACATACATTGATGAAGCATTTTTTTAAAATTTCATCAGATATACCCAACGGTTGCATCAACCCACATCCTTTGTAACTAGGGAGAGTAGAAATACCATTTTTCGACATGATTTTTAATATACCATAATTTGCTGCATGTCTGTAGTTACTTATCATTTGTTGGTTACTAAGCCTGGCCTCATTATCTCCATATTTAATAAAGCGCAAACTTTCGTACAAGATAAAGGGGTATATACAATCAGCCCCAAATGAGAGCAGAACTGCTAAGTGGTGTATTTCAAAACAATCCCCAGCCTTCACTATGAGAGAGCACTTGGTTCTTAGATTTTTACTTAACAAATATTTATGTAACGCACCAACAATTAGGATGGAAAATATGGGCACTCTCCTTTCATTTATGTTACTGTGTGAGAGAATAATCAGCTGGCTCCCTCTCCTAACAGCATTTTCAACATTGGTATTCACGCTATCGATAAATTTAATCAAATATTTTGATACGATGTTATTTTTTATTTTCATTTTATTCACATCATCTTTGTTATGCTTGGTTTTGTACTCATCCAGCTTGAATGTGTAGGTGATATTACCATCTGCATGGTAACTACGCTTTGGTGAAGACACACTTTTCACCACATCAAATTTCACTTCGTCCGCAGATTCTCCCGACATGAGTGCTTCCAATTTATTCAAATCGACTGTCATGTCTATTATGATGTGTGGGAAGTCTGGCAACTGGAGGAGCAAATTGTAGAGTGCGTCGTTCAAAATGGGGCCATTAATAAATATACGCTGACAGTTGGTGTAGTTGGAATGGAGAATGTCTCCTTCCTTTCCCAAGGTGCTCATAAGAGACATGATATTTTCTTCCCTAATTGGGTCGATGGCTGGGTTGGTCACTTGTGCAAATGTTTGCTGGAAGTAGTACAGAAGATTTCTCCGTATATAACTTAAAAAGGGAAAGGCGGTATCATTTCCCATTGCGCCAAGTCCATCGGCGGCATGCTTTACCATAGGAGAAATTATCATATTGAATGCGTCATACGTATAACCAAAGGCTTTTAACTTTTTAATTAATGCTTCATCGTTAGGGTCATCCACATCGTCAGCCTCCTCTGCATCTTTAATTCCATAGGCACTTTCCTTATTCAATATGGCTCCATATTTATAAGCATTCATTCGTATGTTCTCCATGTTGGAGGCCGGTTTGATAATATTATCCAAATGAATAGAATAATGATCTAGCCATTTCTTGTATGGTTTTTCTTTCAAAAATTTGCTTAACACCTCTTCATGTCTTAAGAATTTTTTTTCTTTAAAATCGATGAGGACTACTTTCCCAGGATATACACATCCCTTATGGGTAATTTTGTCATAAGCCAAATCGACTACCCCCGTTTCGCTAGACAAAACGAAGAGTCCATAGTTGGTGATGCTGTATCTAGCAGGTCTTAATCCATTACGATCCAACGAAGCGCCTACTTTATTTCCATCAGTGAAGATGATTAATGCAGGTCCATCCCACGGCTCCATCATACATGTGTGATATTCGTAAAAGGCTTTTTCCAGTGGAGTTATATTTGGATCCTTCTGATATGCCCTTGGCATTAGCATCATAATTGCGTGCTCTATTTCTCTTCCCGCCATGGTCAAAAAGTCAATGGCATTATCGAACAGGGAAGAGTCAGACGGGTAGCTAATAGCGCCTTTGGTTTTTCGAGACTCACCATGTTGCAGTTGCGTCTTCACCGCATGGCCAAAGCTTTTCTCACTTCTGCACATGTGTGAAATGGAATTCGTATCCTTAAGTCGTTTAGAAGTGGCTGCATTATCATCCTTATCTGAAAGATCCTCTGAATCGTCGAATGAGCTCCCAGACATCTCATTCACATTGCTTAAAAACTCCGAATTGCTATTAATGTCAGAGTTCATATATTCCCTTTTTATTTTATAATGAATGGCCGAGCTGTTATATGTGAAGTCTCTCTTCAATCGGAGTAGTAATCTCCTCCTCGATTTTTTCTTTAGTCTATTTTTTGTCAACATGATATCTTCAAAGGTATCCTTCTTTTCAATGATCTCATCGTCGTTGTCATATATAATATAATTCTCCTCATTTATGGGTCTTAAATCTTTTATCGACACTGATTTAAATGAATTTGGTGCTTTGGACAATTCCATTCTCTCTTGAAATAAAATCGAGTTCACACTAATGGTGTTGATTTCTCCATTGTGACATATTCTTCTAAATGGGTGTGCCGCATACCACGTGGGGGAAGTATTCGTAGAAAATCGCACATGTACCATCGCAAGGTAAGATGTAAATTGCTCACTTAGTAAATCCTCAAAATATAAATATATTTGGGAAGGGGTTAACAGTCCCTTGTAAACAATTGTCCTGGAAGAAAAACTACAAAAATACATATCATTATGTCTGACCAATTTTTTTCTTATAAAAAACGCTAGCAGTTCTATATCATCTGGCAAGCTACTCAAATTCAAATGGCTATCATCTGTGAAATCTATATCTGAAAATGGGTATATATTAAAATCGTCGTAATTTTTAAACACTGATCTTTTACATACAAACATTTGAGCTATGAACGGCTCACTTTTTTTCACAGATGCACTAATTACATCACTGCGAACTGGGATTGGTGATCTCCAACCCAGAACTACAAGTCCATTGTTGTACACTTCCTTCTCAATTTCATGGTACAAAAATAACCTCCTTTCTTCATTATGTGGAAGAAATATTTGCGCAACTGCGTAGTCTCCTTTTTCCGGAAGCAGAAATGGCAACTGACATGTGTCACTTAACATTTGAAAGTAATCATGTGGCATACCCACCAGAATTCCTGCTCCATCTCCGTTGTTCGATTGAACTCCTCCTCTATGACTCAGACGCAATAGTATTTGCATGGCCTTCTGGATAACACTCCTTGAGCTCTTTCCATTGATGTCTGCCACGACTCCTACTCCGCATGCGTCCTTTTCATTTCTGCTGTCGTATAGGCCATGCTCGGCCTGCTTGGCCTTCCTCTTCTTCGTTTTCTTCATCTTCTTAGCCTTATTCCCACAATGCGCAGTCAATTCCGGTGTGTCGCAACTTGGCTCGTTCATGCTTTGCGTATCCGCCTCGTCGTTCCTTTCCTCCTTCATCTTTTTGTTACCTACTAATTGGAGAAGCCAAGTAGACACTTGGAATTCCCTGCCGAGTTCACCAAGTCGGAGAATAAGGCGCAGCGACGCAAAGAAGCAAACACACGCTGCCACAAGAGAGTCACAAGACTAATTGGAGGGGCGTAATTGGGTGGTGGTGCTCATGGTCTAAGGAATTGCGCGCATGAGTACAGTACACATATGTGAGCAGAGACAGGGGAGCGGCAATATGTTTCGAATCGAGGTCTACCGGCCAGGCAAAGTAAAAAATAAATGTATGTTTTCACACGTTTATATGCACAAAACAATCGCGTGTGCCTCCACGCATGTCCTATGAACAAAAAAAATAAAATAAAAAAAAAGGCGAGTTCTGCAAATCGCGAAGGCGACGGTGCAGCGAAATGAAGTGGCGCTATTCGCAGCAAATCTTCCTTGTAGACGTAGAAAAAACAGACTGGACGTTGATTAAAACTTTTGAAATTAATTTTTTAACGTATTAAAAAGGGAACTAATTTAAAGGCTAAAAAAAAAATTTCGAATATGTTTTAAGCAGTTCAGTGTGGATGTGCAACGCACCAGTTTGATGCACATGTGTAAGTGTATGCGTAGGATGGCGCATATGAATATGTGCTAGGACAAACATATACATATGTGTATACAGGAGTACACGATTCCTCACAGGTGCTCACGGGGGCATATGTACGACTGCACCCAACAGTTGCGTTATATTTTAGCCGACGTTTATGAATACAGCATTTCCAACTGCCACTAATGTTGCGGCTGATTTCTGCACTTTTACGTGTTAGCTCAAACGCGTGATTTTTTGCTCCCAGCGAGGAAGAAAGGAATGCAGAATGTAACTGCGTGCTGTTTTGGTTGTTCGTTGTTGTTTCGTTGTTCGTTATTCCTTTTGTCGTCGTTTTTTTTTTTTTTTTTTCTTTTTTTTTACACATTTATTTGTTCATTTGTTTATTTTATTTTTTTTTTTTCACTTGTTTTAATTTTTGTTCACTTTGGTTAAATTTTGCTTATTTTTTTCTACACTTTCCCTTTCGCGTATTTTTTGCGTTTTTTTAATTCCTTCCAAATCGCCTCGCAAAAAAAAAAAAAAAAAAAAGTGCGCGCATACCGCAGCGGCGGTGGAAAATTCAGGGGGGGGAGCTACAAACTGTGGTATGTCGAGTTTAATTCGTGCCTCCAATTACCTGTGGAGCATTGGGGCGTTCTGCTTCCGCAGTTGGGATGTCCGCAGGCCTTAATGTTGACACCGCGGGGTCACCGTCGAATACGCAAATAAGTAGGCAAATTATGTGTAAGCAGATAAGTAGGCATATTATATGCGTGTAAAGAACATGAGAAGGCAAATATGTAGGAAAATTATAGGCAAATGAAAAGGCAAATTATGCGTAAGAAAATGAGAAGGCAAATATGTAAGAAACCTATAAGCAAATGAAAAGGCAAATAAATTAAGCAAATGATATGCATGCATAGGATGCTTCGTTAATTATAAATTTGTTACAAATTTGTTAATCGTGACAGTGAGGACGCGAAAATAAACACACGAAAAATTATGTTGCGAAATTTTGTAGCGACGTACGCGAAACACATTTGACCAATTTTAAACGTAAAAAAATTTTGTAACCTTTTTCTTGCGCATGGATTAAGCAACTTTTACGCGGGAGCCTTTTTACACTCTATTTTTTTTTTTTAACATAAAAACGAGAAAATTGTAAGGTATGCTGTAGATCACACCAGCAAGTGTGTACAAAAATGGGGTTGCACATATTTCCACTGCTCACTGTCATGCGTGTATATTCCCCCAATGAGCTCAAAAATGTTACAAAAAAAAAAAAAAAAAAAAAAAACATCAAATCAAATCAAGCCAAATGACCAGACTGTTTTACACCATTCTCAGTTTCCATGAGGATGACATTGCCCAAAAAGAAATTACGGCATTTACATTTTCCTGTGCACAATATGCATGTACGTACGCGCGGGCACATGGTTTTGCATGCCTTTGAAGGCCCATACACACAATCGTGTGTGTCCTCGCTGCAAATCGATTTTCACAAAATTGAAGTTAAATTCTTTTGCTGGCATGTCCTGTACGTAACATTGAGTGCCAGTTGGCTATATAGCGCGAGAAGTGATCTGCAAAAATAAAAACGCATGCAAGGGTGAAGCTTGCATATGTATATGTGTACGTATAAATATATACATATTAATGTACAGTCCCTTGTGGGGGCATACATTTCCCTGTATCACCACTTCCCATGTACGCGCAGACGTATGTACACCCACGAGCAGTCAGGCGAAAAAAAAGTGGACAAGGACTTCCTAAAGAGGGGGTTTAAACAGTGGACAAAATTCACCTTCATCCTTCTCCTGGACATATTTTTTTTTTCCCCCTCCTTGTTGGTTTCCACTCAAGTGTACATGCACCCAATGTAGTACTGCCCCGTGTAAAGGGCCCGCATGCAGGTCTACACAGGACGGTGGTTTCCAACTCGGTTAACACTTCTGCTTCCCATGAAGCGCAAAAAAAAGGGATGCGGGAATTTTTTTCACAATTTTTTAAATTCCCCTATGGTAGAACGTGTGGGAAGGGGTATATCCGAACGAACACACCGAGTGTTACATTTCCTTGTTGGGCAATTAGGAACTTTTAAAAAAAAAACAAAGGTCGAGTTTATACACAAAAAAAAAGGGAAAAAAAGTTGTTGGTGTTAATTGACAGGTGTAACATAAGAGGTATAAGGGGATTTGGCAAAAACAGGTGCACAGAAAGCACGCCAAACGCAAGGACGATGTGGCGGGCACTAAAAAACAGTCGACATGGCCTTCTGCCGAATCGTCTGGTGAGGAATGAAATAAAAATAATCAGCAGACCGTATGGGCAGTAATCCACTGTTGGAGCACACATTCATAATGTACAGAAAAACAAGAAAATTTAAAATGGCAAAGCAAATTTTCTGTGGCAAAAATTTCTGGTTGGAATTAGTTTCCACACTCTTAAATGCATCATTGATGTTCAATAAAGATTTTAAAATGTTATACACTGAGTACACAATAAAAATGATGCCAAAGATCCCTGACGCGCCACCTGACATGAACATAACAAATATGTTCATCACTAATCCTTTGAATGCATTAAGACAAATTCCCCAAGCTTTTTTTTCGAGCACCTTCTCGCTCATGGAAGATGATGTGGATGATTTGTTCTCTTCGTTTTTGTTTATCTTATGTAAATTGTTTATATTTTTTTCCACTTTCAAGTAACTGTCTCCAGCTCCGTATGATCCTCTCACGTCCTTCTCGAATTTGTATCCAAAGGGTTCCGTCGTGCCTTCACATTTTTCATCATATTTCTTAAGGTTGAAATCCCATCTACTCATTTTCCTTTTTTTCTTTTTTGTCTCAGCGGGGAAATTTGTTTATGCACAGATGGGGAGTAGTGCGCACGGATGCAAATGTCGATCAGCTCGTTTGTTGCGACTGTCTTGTGCAGTGCGACGTCGTGCAGTGAGGGTTTCTCCCGTTGTACGGTGCTCTTGTCGCCCGTCCGTTTGTTTGTCTTTATCTAGATATACTCACACGTGTGTGTGCTTATTAGGGGCAGTTTTATTTAAACCCCAACGCCTAGTGAGGGGGCAACTTGGAAATGATTCCTCCACAATTGATGTGCCAAGCGGCGGGGAGGAAAAAAAAAAGAAAAAAAAAAGCTGACCACAAACAACGATGCACGTGCGCAGTCGGCTGGGGTTATCGACTTAAAAATGGGGTAGTATAGAAAGATGGAGCATGTACATACGACCCATCAAAGCTATGCAAAGCGATGAGCTACACATATGCAAAACGGAGCAATACTAGGGTTCATCACATGACTATGCTGTAATGGCCTATGTAGGGTAATGTTGGGCGCTCGTAAAATATATATAACGCAAATTTAAGGTGGAATTATAAACAATACGAATCGAATGGGGATGCAAAAAAAAAAAATAAAAAATAAAAAAATAATATATATGTATGTTTATATAACTGTACAAGCTGCTCCTCTTTCCCGCTGAATGCCAATTTTGCAAACCCTTTCTTTTTTTATTTTCTCCGGCATGTTAACCTGAGTTCTTCACGTAACGTTGCACGGGGAAACTTCCTGGAACGGTTTTTGTTCACAAAATGGAAAGCCGCTGGGTTTGAACAAAAAAAAAAATATATATTTTTTATACTCGCCTTGATTTAGGCTATGCGTGCGATATGCACTAATCCATATTGAGAGTTCCACTCGGCAATTTTTTTTTTTTTTTTTTTTTTTAAGTGATATAAAAAATGAAACGGATAAGTTGACATACCGTTGCCATTGCCCTATGAGGGTTAGAAAAAAATATAGCCATGTCGATTTATCAATTTGTGCGCGTTTGAAGAGTTTTTATGTTTATAAGCGCAGCCATGAAGTACTGCATGATTTAAGATACAGGTGAATTATCATCCTAATGCTAACAGGGGGGTGGTTGGTTATGCCTTTCCCACTGGCGCTTTCACATGGTTAAAGGAAAGCAAGTTTTCGCCCTGCGACCTTGCTTGCAAAAAGGATGTTCCATGTGGCATACTTTGGCAATTACGCCACAAGAGGTACATAGCTACGCAAGTGCATGTACCTGCGTTACACGTGTTCTCGGGCATCTCACATTATGCAATTAACCTTGTGACCTGGCAAAACGCGCTTTAAAGAAGGAATTTGACACAACACGCAAAAAGGTCTCCTTCACAGTCGCTACATTTTTTTTTTTTTTTGTTGTTATCTGCTCTTTGCGTTGTAAAGGTGCGTTCGTGATCCGATTGGACATTCACTCAACGTTGCAACTGTGTCGTTTTTTTTTTTACGTTTTTTTTGTTTTTCGCCAAGGGCATCCCTTTGCGTAATGTACTGCCTATCGGTGTAGCGGCTGGTTTGTTTTTTCAAGTGTGTACGTTTTGCGTGCATACCATCTACTTGGATACAAAATTTCACCCTCACCCATCGTCAAGATGAGCGATATGAATGACTTTGACCAGTTCAACTTCAACGGGTATGATAGCAGCAGCAAGGGAGGTCCCAAGGAAGAAAAGAACATAGAGGCACCCAACGGAGGGTACGAAATGAGTGAGGACTTAGGATTATCCAACGAACTGAATGATAGCCTTATGGAGAAGAGCTCCAACTACAACGAATTGAACATGTCGCTCAACAGCATTTACAGCGACCAGAATGTTTCGAAAAGGGAGGTAGACGAAACAGTTAGTAGCAGTAAGAAGTACAATTTTGGAGAGTCCAAAAATGATAGCTCCAATAAATTTACAACGTCATTTAAGAAGGACAGCCAAATGTCCTTCGAAAATGCATATGAACAATTTTACGAAAAGGAATCCGACATATCAGACACAGAACAATCAACCACGTGGGAAACTGAAAGACTAAAAAGGATAGAACAAAGGAAAGAGTACGAAAGAAATAAAAAAATCGAAATAAAAAAAAAAGCTGCGGAAGACTTAAAAAAATGGTATGAAGAAATGGCCGTTGTAATTGAAGAGAAAAAAAAAATGTCTAAAAAGAAAAAAAATGAAGAAAAAAAAAAGGAAGAAAATTTGGAAAACAAAACTTGGCAAAAGGTATTCCAATATTTGGACCTGGAAAAGGGTGAATATTTTAAGGAGAACAGCCGCATGAAGCAGGTCCTCCTCAAGCTCATGAAAAGCGAGGGTTCCTGATGTTTTTCTGCAACTCCTTCGCCTTCACCCCTATTTGCATGTACAACTGTGGGGTATATATGCTCATGCGCGTGGGTGGAGTCATCTCGGCAATGTTTTTTTTTTTTAGCCGCGACAATTGCTCACCTGCTGTTGCCTATGTGCCTAAACCATTACCCCCGCCCCAATAACCTTATTACAAACCTAAACTCCTTTTTGAAAAAAAAGTTAAAAAGAATTTATATGTTACGTGTTAGATTATAAACAAAAATGCAGAGCGAAATGCCAAGCGAAGTGCAAAACGTACAACAAATACTACGGATGAGGGGTGGAAAAAAAAAATAAAATAAAAATAAAATAAATTTTCATTCCGCTGAGGCTCATTAACGGAGTACACTTTGGCGCGAACCCCCCCTTCCCCTTGCGGGCTTGGTAACTGCTCTAATGATATGGAACAAAAGACAGATAAGTACGAAGTGGTCTAACCATTTAGGTCCTCGAAAGAGCTGGTTTATTCGCGTTGTTACTTGTATTCCATTCCTTGTCCGCAGTTATACTCTTCTTTACTACGGACCCCTTGGCGTATTTGAGAAGGTCCGAGTTGTCTTTTTTCAAATGTTTACCATACTCATCTGCACCCTTATACCTATAGTTAGTACTAATATGCCCTTTCACCCCACTCTCATTGTTATTACTGACGGTGCTACTTTCGCTTCCCTTTCTGTATATCATGGAGGAATTTTTCCTGGAGCTGCTGACTACCGTTTTCGTCACAGATGTGGTGTTGCTTGAGTTCTTGGTTCTGCTGCTTTGCTGCCCAGTTGGCAGTGCAATCACGTGACCACCCTTGCTGTTCACCATAAGACCTAAACTGCTAGTCGCCCTGGAGTTATTACTAACACTTTTCACAACGCTGTTGTCGGAAACGTGTTTGGTCACCTTATCTGTGTACTTAAACGTTCCTGTTTTTTTGCTTGCATCAGATTGATATATATTGTTCTGACCCTTTATTGCCCTCCTGGGTGATCTATCCTTGTCTTCCGCCTTAACATAACCAACGGGTTGTTCCTGATTTTCGCACATAGCTTCTTTTTCCCCCTTGTAATTCTCACCCAGGGATCCTTTCCCAGAAACTCCTTTCCAAACATCCACATCCTTCCTAACCTTCCCACTTGTAATTAGAGTTTCTGAATTTTTTATAACGTTTTGTTCAATAAAGGATATGATTTCTTTGAAGTTGTTTTTGTCAAACTCGTAATTCTCCTTCGCGTCGTTTTTTTTCTTTGCTTCTGCGTCTGTCTCGGCTGGATTGGATGGGGCGCTCGAGGGAGTGTTCGATGCGCCTTGCGGGGAGGACCCATTGGTAGCATCCCCCTCGTTGAAGTAGCCATTGTCCTCGTACATGTTTACAATATCGATGTGGTTCAGCTCGTCTATGTCGTTTGGGTAATTTGTACTATCAAGGTCTCCTATGCCAATTACGCGTCTCACGTCGCTAGGCCCCCTGACCCCGTTGCTGTGGTCTATGTTCCACTCCATCGCAGTCTCGTAGGGTTCTCCCGCAGAAAGGTGACCCCCTTTTGTCACTTCCTCACGGAGTTCTTCTCTTTTCGATTTGGTGTATCTTAATGAGTCCCTTTCTGTTAGCTGATCACCCAAGCTGCCGTCTTCTAGGCCCTTATTTGGAGCCCCTTCATCATGGCTTCCCTGTCTGCTACAGGTTCTTTTCTTCAAGTCGTCATATACTCTGGACCCCTTTTGCCTGCCACTAACGGATCCACTTCTGCATCTACTTTGAGAGACATTTTTTTGCATCTGGGCATTGTACGAATCGATTTTGTTTTTCAAGTTGATACTTTTCGTGGTGTTCGAAATGATGGACATATTTCTAGCGCTGTTATTGCTGATGGATCTCCTCCTGCTGGATTGCTCTTCACATAAGGGTTCGTCTTCAACGTATGGCTGCCCTTCCTCATTAGCACATCTGTGATAACTCTCGTAGTACCTCAAAATGTTGTTCATTCTTTTATTTCCCGTGACGGCCGACAAGCTGCCCTTCTTCTGGGTCGAGTACTTTCTGGTGTATTCAGATCCCATTTGGAAGTTGAAGGAACTATTTTTATAGCTCATCTTGAATTGACTCAAGGATTTTCTAATTAGTTTAATATTATCTCGCACAGCTTGAATGTTTTCGTAGTGCATTTTTCCAAAGGACTTATTTAGTACATTGTTTCTGGAGCTGACTTTAAAATCGTTGAACAGTTGTGGGTACTGAGACAGAACATGGTTTAGCAATTTTTCCGCTGCGCTTAGGCTTTCATCAAAGGTGGTCATTTTATTACACTGACTATGGCACACATCTTTGAAGTAATTAATTTCTGTCACGGATTGCTCCTTCTCGTTGAGTAGCTGCTCCACAACCTTGTTATGTTCCGTCTCTAAAGATTTAATGGAATTGTTGTACTTCTTTGTGTACTCCTTCTCCTTTTGTATCATTTCTTTTAAAATAATTTGGACTTCATCAAATGATTTTTCAAATTCTTTTTTAAGCGAATCAAAATTGATTTGCGTGTCTTTGTATTTGTCCTCTACATTTTTTAACTCCTTCAGCTTCTCTTTCATTTTGGTATTTTCCATTTCTTTTTCGCTTAGCATTTTTGTGTAGTTATCAATTTCTCCTTTTATTTCGCTAATGAGTGTATTTTTTTCCTCCGTCAAATTTTCGATTTTTTTTTCCATCTCTTGTACCTTTTGGCTGTACATTTTTTCCTCTCCTTCTAGTATCCCTGTAAGGTTGAAATATTTCGCCTTCGTGTCTCCCAGCTCCTTTATGAGGGCGTCTTTCTCTAGTTTGCGTTGCTCCGCTTCCATTTTCAGTTGCTCCTTCTCCATCTTGAGTTGCTCCCTCTCTATTCTTAGTTGCTCTCTCTCAATTTTGAGTTGTTCCGTCTCCAATTTGATCTGTCCCGTGCCTGTCTTCGCCTGTTCATTTTCCCGTTTTGCACATTCTAGCTCCTCGTTCAAGCGGTCCACCTCCTGCTGTAACATTATACACTTGGTGGTAGCTTTATCCGTTTCACTTTTGTAGAAGAAATTTTTGCTAATGATGGACTCCTTATCTTCCTGCGCCTTTTTTAACTCCTCAGAAAGTACCAAGTTGATATTGTGGCTGTTTTCCTGCAGGTATTTCTTCTCTTCTATAATGCTAAGTAGGTCATTTTTTTCCTGCTGTAAATGTCTCATCATATTTTCGTATTTTTTGCTGTATTGAAATTTGTCCTTTATAGAATAGTACTTTATAAGTAAATTTTTTTTGCACAGATTCACAAGTACGTTTCTGTATTTGGACTTTAGCTTGCCGTAATTCCTCATCAAGAGTTTATTTTCAAATTTGACTTTTTCATTTTTTTTTAACAAGTACAGATTTCGTATGTTCAGATAGCAGGTTCTGTATATGCACTTATTTTTCAGCCTTATGTTATTTTTGATGGTTTTAAATAGGAAGGCTATAATTTTGTTGTATCTCCTATCTGTGTGTTCCTTCTGTCCTACTGCTGCATTCAGGTCGCTTTTGTCGCATGAGATGGTACTCATTTTGTCTTCTATCTTCTCCATCCATTGCTTAATCTCCTTCATGGCCAGAATGACATTTTCGTCGTTCATCCCGTAGGATGAGCAAACAGAGTTGTTAGCGTTGAAGTACCTCAAGTTGTCTACCTGGGAGTAACACACCGACCTATGCTCTGCGATATGGTCAACTTGGCTCTTTGCGTTGCCTTCCAAGTCGCCTTCCCGGTTTCGCTCCTCTGGTTGCCCTTCCAAACCCTCCCCAAAGTTATCTCCATTGTTTCGGCTAGCATCACCACCCTTCTTCATGACACTCTTCACGCGAGTGTACATATCGTTGGCGGCCTTCATATTGCTGGTCAAAGTGCTTCCCCTCTCCATACCCTGCTTTCCTCTTTCAGACAATATGGACCCCTTTTCAAAAACGTTTATCATGGACGCGCTGTCTTCTGGGAATACGTCATCCTTCACATCGAAATCGGTTGACAACTTTTCCTTACTAGCATTTATCAGTTCATACATCGATTTGATTTTCGAATAATTATACGTGTTCATCTCTGCAGTAGTATTGTAAGTGTTCTTTCTATTAAGGTTCCTCTTAACTTCGTTTCCTTTCTCATTGTTCGCTTCGCCATACATTGGAGTATCCTTCCCAGCTGATCGTTTCCTACCCATTGCGGCCTCCTGACGAGCCACCTCCGATTTGACTCTGCTAACAAACGATTCACTATCATTTGGTACATCGTACGAAGTAAGTTTCGTGTCCTTTTTCTTCAAGGGAGTGTATGCGGAATGTTGTTGAGTCGTCTTCTCATTATTCGCCTGGTTATAATTTTCCCATTTATTTTTTAACCTCTCTAGGGAAACAAACTGATTCGGATCCGTCTGGTTTTTTGTAAAGGTATGCACTTGGCTCTTTGACGTTTTGGTTAAATACCTATTGGCCACATGGCTAGGGGCCCTATTCATATTTGCCCCTGTATATTTTTGCACACATGATGAGAGGTTAGATCTGGGTAACCCGTAAAACTTCGTTTGATAATTCAGGTAGCTATATGGCTCATTGTCATTGTAGTTTCTATTTTTTAAAATAAAATGTAAGCTGAACTTATTTACATTTGGTCCTGCTATTTTGGAATTATTATTGAACAAGCTAATGGCTTCTTTTATATTTACATCGCAAAGGATACTGTTCGTTCTGAGAGCCAACCTATACTTAACAGAATCGTTACATAAGTCTAGCTTGCTTAGGGGGAGGTAAAATACGCTCAGTGGCTTGGGTAAGTTTTGAATATCTCCTTTGTTGTTTTTCAGAAGAAGGGATGAAGTGGTGCAGGCAAAAACGGAGTCGTAAAAAATAATTGTCAATACCCTATTTTCGAAATTGTCTGCACTCGTATCAATTATGTATTTCTCAATTTCTAATGGAGACTCACTATATGTAAAAAAGTTAGTTGATTTGTCGTATACAAAAATGAAGGGGGTGGAGTTAAACTTTTCTCCCTTCCAGCAGGCAGGTGCGTGTATCAACACCTTGTAATGCTTTTTACAGCTGTTTTTGCAGTTGCTATTCGGGTTGTCCGCAGTAGGGGGGCGGCCTGCTCCATGGGTGGTATGCCCATTTAGAGTATCCTCCATATTGTCATTTTTTTTGCTTTCCGGGGGGAAGACCTTAGTTGCTTCTGCTTTCGCAACACCATCGTGGATGCTCGCCAAGTTGCTTTGGCTCCCACCATTTAAGTTGCCAGAATTTGTCTCCCCCTCCAACTCTCTTTTCATATTTTCCATAGTGCAACTTTTGGACTGACTGGTGTCCCCTTTTGCGCACTTCACATTGTACCTTTCACACCCGTTTTCTTTGTTCGCTTGTTCAGCCTCTTCCTCATTTAGCGTACTTTCTATTATTTTCCCATCCGCGTTGTTCAAATTGGGGTCGTACCCCCCTGCACCCAGGGACTCTTCATGAGACTCCTCATGGCTCAGCAAACTGTGTGAGGAAATGGATTTCTGGTCATCGATTTTCCCAATTATTTCGTACGTGTCAATTATGTTTTGCATGGCGGAATGTTTTTTCCTTTTCTTGAAAAAATGCAAAACGTTTAGAAGTGGAACAATGTGTAGGACATATCATTGCACTTCCCTTTTTGCGCCTGAACGGTTTTGTTCAATGTTTCGAACATTTGCCAAGGGGCGTGTGGGACGACAAGGTCATGAAAGCCAACACTTAGTGATAGAAGCAGGTTGCGGTTGAGTTAAAAAAATTTTATAAAAGTGTGACTCCCACGCCTACAAGTATTCATTCTGTGTGTACGTATATCGCGCAAATGTATGCATAGATCTGCGCGTTTGTACACATACACACCAATGCATAGTGTCACCGCAGAGCAAAATCTAACAATCTACATTATAAAAGCGATTTAACAAAGAGGAAAAAAAAAAAATAAAAAAAAAAAAGGCAGTTTCATGTGACACTCATGTTGTGAAAAAAATTGCAATTCTGTTACGTTATATTCGTTCGCATGTCGCAAAAAAAAAAAAAAAAAGGACAAAAAAAAACAATAAAGTTGGGAAATTTACACTTGTAATGAATTTTATAATAACAAGGAGGAAAGGAAGAAAAATTCGTTAAAACACAGGAAACTAAAGATTGCGAAAAATAGGCGTTTTTATTTTTTTTTCTTTGCAGAACTGTTCACCCCTGCCACACGCCGCGGGGTTGTTTGTCGTAGGCGCCAGTTTTGGCACTTCTGCAAAAATAAAAAAAAAAACAACAAAGTGGAAAATGGGAAAAAAAAAAAAAAAAAAAAACACACTCTGCATGATCATTCCATCCTACGCAGGAATTGAAAGAAAAAAAAATTCCCAAACGGAAGATCAATTTGTACAGAAAAAACCAAAGTGTTCACAGAAATAAGAACGTCAAAGTTGGGTAGATTATTCGTAGCAGTGTTTGCTGGAAGGGAGAAAATTATCGCCAAGTCTGATGTACACATGAATGGAACATTTGTGGGGGAAGAAAACTGTGGAGTGGGCAAGTGCCCATGTGCAGAAAGTCTGTTCGCGCACACGCATGTGTAATTACGGTTACACGCACGTACATTCACGTGTGTATATTGACTTGTGCGAACGCTAACGTTTCCTTGGCACAGCTGAACGACCATTTCAAACGACAGTGCAGTTATATGTACATAAAGGCAGAAGGGAAAAAAAAAAAAAAAAAAAAAAAAAAAAAAAAAAAAAAAAAAAAAAAAAAAAGCTAGAAAAAAAAAAAAAAAAAAAAAAAAAAAAAAAAAAAAAAAAAAAAAAAAACAGCGACGGTGATTTATACACACTGTAGAGTACACGTTACAAGTGAACGCTGAACAAATTGACCACGTACAGTTTAGCAATTTTGCTGCATTTCTCACACATTTGTGTTTCACCAACTAAAATGAATACAACACTTTCTACGCGCGTGTATTATTCCCTTTCGTGAAGGTAAAAATGACACGTCTTTTTTGCTTTTTTTTAGTAAAAAAGGTCAGTGTAAAATGGGGGGAAAAAAAAAAATAGGTTGTTGTTGTGGGTGTCGTTGTTTTTAATTTTCCCTTTAAATGGTTATGTGTGCAGAACAAAAAAAAAAAATTATGGCACACAATTCTGCATGTTACCAACATTAAAATATTTTATCCCTTCGCAACTGAATAGGGTTATTTCTTTCCATTTTCGTTTTATCGCAAAATGTGTATCTTTGCACCTTTGCTGTATACCGATGGGGTAAAAGCATTTGTACAACCCAACCTGCTGGACCCTGAACCTTTTAGCAAAAGGAACGAAAGAAATTAAATTTATATATTGCCTACGTTATGTCACAACCCATGGTTGTCTTTTTTTTTTTTTTTTTTTTCATTGATTGCGCAAATATACAGCTGTTTCGCATTTTCCACCGAAAGCGTGCCATGGCAAAAAAACTGTGAGGCATTTATTTTTACACGCAGCATCGTACGAATGAACACCTCATATTTCTACATATATTCCTGCCCGAAAAAATCACTGACAATTGCAACAAGGGTATTGTCCAAAGGCCCCCCAGTGCATCGCAAAAAGTTGGTAAAAATACGCATATGGTAGTGCAATATGAGAAACATTGTTTCCATTTGGTAAAGGGTAAAAAAAAAAAAAAAATTTTGACGGGAAGGGTGCACATTTCTGATTAATCTCCAATGGAGAATTCTAAACAATTGGTGTGTGTGCAAACATTCATGAGCTCACCTTTTGAACGTGCATCTCCTTACATGTTGTGTAAAATAAAAGAATGGTAACACATGTGTATGCACATTTTTATGCCTTCATATGCCTGCTACGGGAAATAACTTACCGCATCGTTTGCGCGCCACAATGTCGTATTGGTGGCATAGAACTAGAGGGGAGTAAAACATAGGTGGTGTGTTTCAGCTCTACGTTGCCATTGCACTCTGCTTACGTTGTATGCCTACATTTCGAATTAACTGCGACGAACAGCTAATTAAAATTTTTCGCGTTCGTGGGGACTTTTCACATGTACACATCTTTCCCCCTCTTTTTACGCAACTCGCTCCGCTTCTTCGCTGCCACTTTCGCAGAGGACATTTGTTCTTTTGGCTTTGTTCCGGTTTACCTGAGCAAATGCGCACTACCTCAATTTAAGCATTCTGTTTTTCAAATATTAAAAATGAAATTTAATTCGAATGTTATTTGGCTTTTAAGAGTGCGCTTTTATATGAAAAAAAAAAAAAAAATGAATTGTAAACAAAATTTTCTTCATTCGGGGCAGAGTACCGGGTTTGGTACACACAGGATGTCCATGCGTATAGCAGTTGTATTGCTTTACACACTGGCGTTACGAAATGGAGCGATGAAAAGCGGCGCAGCGCAATACCACGAAACGCTGCGAAAAACTACGAAACACTACGAAACACAAATTCAAATATGTCACTTATATATTGGGTATATAAAGTTAATTATTAGGGCAATAAGGTGGCTTGATAACAGTGCATAACAAGGTACATCGTGTGTCTGGGGCCCTCCATAAAAAAAAAAAAAATGCCTTTCTATGGCCTTTCAAATTTGCTCATTCGGTGGGAGTCTCTCTATATACTGTTGTCCTGTGCACATGTTGTTTTGCCTGTTTATTTATTTATTTTTTTCCCCCCTTTGGCTAGCTGTCCCCTTCAGCCTGTTTATCTGTTCCTTGACCGCACGGTCCGATTTTCTCCTGGCAGTACGACAAACTTGGCACTTTCCGCGCTGTTGTCATTTTCTCCAAGTGAAGACTCACCAGCCGCACGAGTAAAAGTCGCTCATATGCACACATTTTTATTTACTAAACAAGTAGGCATGTAGCGGGAGAAAAAAAAAAAAAAAAAAAAAAAAAAAAAAAA